CTTTTTATCTCACCTTCTTTCCCGGCACAAGGATTTGGTCAACCTTTCTCCCTCTCTCTCTCTCTCTTTAAATAATTCCAAGGACAGACCCTTTCAGTGGGAGGAGCCCCGCCCCTGGGAAACCAGCATCTCTGTGCAAGACGCGCAGTCTTTGAAGCTGGTTGGAGAGGGAAGAGCAGCCATGAAATTAACATGATGCTCCAATCTGAATTGGCAGAAAAGGGCTGGGGAGGGTGGGGGGAGAGAGATGAGAGGCAGCACTGAAATAACAAAAGGGGGGGTTAGCCAGTGCCTCTTAGAAAGGTGAAGTCTGGTACCTTATGGATATTGTGCCTTCTCACAAGGCAGTGTTGCTCTGGCCAAGAAAAAGGCATTGGCACCCCTTGCTTGTGATGGCAACACCATAATGAGAGGCTAGGCCGGAAGGCAGAACAACTGGATTCTCACGTAATTTAACCCCCAGTGTCCTGAATGGTCCCACCTTTGGGTGAATACAAAACTTGCGTAAGCCCTGACCTGGATGGCCCATGTTAGCCTGGTCTCATCAGCTCTCGGAAGCTAAGCAGGGTCGGCCTTGGTTGGTACTTGGATGGGAGACCACCAAGGAAGCCCAAGGTTGCTACAGAGGCAGGCAATGGCAAAATTGCTCCTCTTCATTTCTTACCTTGAAAACCTCATGGAATTGCCACAGCAGCACTTTCCACCGCCATCAACGTGTGAAAAGGACATAGCTTTGTTCCAAGGGGACATCCGCGCCCCTCTTCGCCCATTTAATGGCCAGCAGGGCCATCCTAAGCAGAGTTCTGCCCTTCCAAGTTGCTGAAGTCAAAGGGTGTGGTGGCTTAGGATGGCACTGCAAGCGACTGAGATAAGAACTAGGGAGTACCCAGTTCAAATCTTCTCTCAGTCTGAAACCTGCTATTGGCCTTAGCCCAGCCTTTGCTACCTTTCCCTCTTTGATCACATCAGCCTTCCCAAATACGGAGCTAATGGTGACCTACCTTATAGGATTGTTGTAAGGATTCCGAAGTCCTTTGAAAACTCTAAAGCAGAAGATGGGGGCATTGTTGTTATATACTCTTATGCCTCTCCTGTTCTCCTGAATGGAAGAGCGAGGTACCAGGTTTCTGGCACAGTGAGCCACCTGTACGTGTGAAAAGGATAAGCTGAGGTTAAGGGATACCAACCCCTAGCCTCCTTGTAAAATACCTGGAGTCAAGGCCAAAAGACCGAGACCAAAATCAGCGTTGGCAGGAGGTCTAATGAGAAAGCAGTGCTTCACCCAGGGCACATCATAAGCACATGGAAACAATTGTGGCAGGATGTTGTGATTGCCTCTGTATTAGTTACACAGCTACATGGAGATCTGCTGTTTGGCTGATTTGCAGACACTTTGAACAAGAGCTAGGATTGCAAGCTCCGTGTTCCAAGTGGATGTTTGCTGCTGCCTCCTGCTTTTGAGCAGTCCCTAGAGTATCTGGCTGGCTGCTATCTGAAGACAGTCTGCTGAGCTTGATGGACCATTAATCTTACAGTCAAATGTCTGTGGCTGGAATCCTCACCCCAGTGTTCTTATCCTTTGCCATTGCTTGCAAAGGCCAGAATCATTTTTGATGCTGGGTTATTTTAGTGGCCAAGAGCCAGTTTCCTTTTTCTCCCCCTGTTAGTAAGGAGCTCCTAGGCCTTCAGGAATCCCAAGTGATACATCAGGGCAGCTGCTGTCTTTTACAGGGTGGGCATCTGTCCTGCAAGTAGCAAAGCAGCTCCCTGTGTTTCCCAAGGTGTCAACTCATGCCCTTATTGATTGGGATACAAAAATAGGATCATTTTACACTGGCATTTGACCCTTTATGCAAGCAGGCATCTTGAAAGGAAGGGACACTTGATGTCACATGCAAAATGCAAGGAATACATTATGGAGCATTCCTAAGTCGTTTGAAGAGGCTTTTTGAAGCTAGGTTTGATGTTTGGTTTACATATGACTGGGAGCCTTCTTGCTTGTTGTGAAAGTCCTTCTGCAACCAACTCATCCCTTGCTGTCTCTCTTTCTCTCTCCACTCCTCTTTTGCTGGGAACTGGGTCACTGTGCTGCCACTGTTCCCCTTCACCCGTTTCCAGCTGCCTAGATCGAGGGATGGAGCGTGACTCCCGTGCTGCGAAGAAGTGTGGAGCTTGGAGTCCAAGGGCCTGGGCAAGCTGCGCTGTTATACATTGGGCAGAGGCCTAGAGAGCTTTGTTGCTGTGTCTGTCTAAGCATAATTTGTGCCTTTGGCTTTCCAGGCTCATTCTCTCCCCCTGTACACATGTGTGTGTGGAAAAGGGACGGGGGTGTGTGATATGAAACCGTCCATACAAATGGAAGGGAGGGATACCGTGATAAGTTTGGTGTAGGCTTGGCCTTCCTATTGGCCCAACTATGCAGAGCATTAAAAAAAAAAAAAGAAAATTCCTTTTCTAGGCAGTGTTTTCAAATTGAAAAAGTCACCCTGCCACTGCTTCCACTTTGCTGCAAACATTTTGTAGCGTGCTTGTTTGCGGGAAATGATTGCCACCCTGCTCAGCACTTGGCAAGATGTATAACGGCAGAGTTGGACGTCCTTCCCTCAGCTGTTTTATCGGGAAGGTTCAAGAAAATTCCCTATAAAGATAGATTGTGCCCATGTGGGATGGGGGAAATTGAATCTATTGGACATGTGCTTTTGTACTGTAAATTCCACTATGACATCCGTGTTGCTTATATTGAACCTGTGTTGGACCCCCTTTTGGGCCAATCTGATGAGTATAAAATTAGTTCTTTATTGTCTTCGCATAATATAGAAATTCTTGAACCTGTAGCAAATTTCTTTTATGAGGTATCTAGGAGGAGAGGCTCATATTAAGGCAATTCGGAATGTGATTACACACACACACACACACACACACACACACACCCCGGCCTATCTTGAGGCTCTGTGCTGCACGTTGTATTTGATATATACAGCCCCAACCCCTGTAGATATGTGGCCTTAGCTAGGGATAAATTTGGAACTTGTAAGCCGCTCAGAGACCCTTTGGGGTTGGAGCGGGGTAGAAATAGAAGATATAAATAAATAAATAAATATTTTATGCCAATAAAGGTATTGTATTTGAATTTGTAAAAAACCAAAAAACCAAACAAAAAACAACAACAGCAGAGTTGGTGCCTCTGATCCCATGTTTGTGCCCCACCTACTTCTTGCACAGCCATGTAGCAAGCCTCGAAGGCACTTCATAAGATAAAAATCATACCTGCTGACAGGTAATTAAAGAATTGAACAATTAAAAAACACCAATGAGATCAGTAAACCAGGAGTAATAAAACCAGCTTAGCTTATAGCTGAGCAGAACACAGACTTTGGGGAGATACTCTCCAGTGCATTCCATTTTTTGAGCATGTGGGGCCTTTTCAGTGGTGGGCACCACAAATGTTGATTGCTTTCCCAAGGGACACTTGCCTGGCCTCTCCACTGTTAATTGTTATGAAGAGGATGGGAACCTGCCTGTTCCTTCAGGCCTTTAGTAGTCCCTCAATGGATGCCTGAGCCAGTTTGGTGTAGTGGTTAAGTGCGCGGACTCTAATCTGGGAGAACCGGGTTTGATTCCCCACTCCTCCACTTGCACCTGGCTGGATGACCTTGGGCAAGCCATAGTTCTGATAAGGGCTGTTCTTGAAAAAGAGCAGTTTCTGTCAAGAGCTCTCTCAGCCCCACCGACCTCACAGGGTGTCTGTTGTGGGGAGGGGAAGGGAAAGGAATTTGTAAGCCGCTCTGAGACACCTTTGGGTAGTGAAGGGCGGGGTATAAATCCAATCTCTTCTTCTTCTTCATCAGAGTTTGAAAGCTAATTAGGGTCAGCCCTGGTTAGTACATGAATAGGAGACCATCAAGGAAGACAAGGGTTGCTATGCAGAGGCAGGCAATGGCAAATCACCTCTGTCTCTTCCTTTGAAAACCCCTTGGTCACCATTAGTTGATTACTACTTGGCAGTGCTTTGTTGTTGTTGTTATCTGCTTTGCTGCTTCATTTGCTCCTGACTTTGTTCAAGTTTGTGTTTTGAATCTGAGCTTTATTGGATTTAGTTCTTAATTTTTAAAAATATGTGGTACCTTTCCTAGAGAGCTTTATCATAGAAGTGTTTTGATAAACTGAGATGAGAAAATGCATTTCCTTTGGTCCAACTAGGTTGGATAGCTTTGCTCACGTTCACAGTTTTGCTTGCAATGAAGTTGGCAGATTTGTTGATTATGAAGGGCATTGGCCCTGGGAAATCAAGACTTCATCTGGTTTGAGGTTTTCTTTAGCCATGCCGCCTCTTCTCTCTGCTGATGGCACGCTCCAGCCTCAGTTGTTTGAGTCAGTCTACAGGGAGCAGAGGGCAGCTGAAATGCCTGGCTTCGGGAAGGGGGAAATCAGCCTGGTAATCTCTCCCACTATAATTCCCTATCCAGGACTTAAACTATGATATTCTGACCGCTGGTTTGCTCTTTGACTTGTTTTGCACAGTTCATATCCTCCAAATGTTCTCAAAAGCAGTTTACAACATATTAAAATAACACAAGAATACAATGCCAACCAAGCCCCTGGAGAAATAGCCCTTGTCCCCGGAAGGTGCTGTCCAAGCACCAGCTGCAACACTCTTTAGTAAGATGGACTACTTATTACACTTCTCAGAACTTGTGCAAACAATTTGGTGCCTGGGATGGGGATATCCAAATGTCACCCTCCCACCAACATTCAGCCAGGAAGGTCACCTCCACAAACCTCATGCACCAGTGTGCATTGAGGCCTGTGGGAGAGTTTACCTGAGTTTTCCAGAACTTCATGCCCAAAGCAGGTAGCTTCACTCCCACAGCATTCTGTGCTGGTGAGGCTGTTATCTTCTACAGAACTTGCTATCTGTTGAAATGCCACTGCCTCATGCCTTGCATGGTCTTGGTCCAAGTGGGATTATTAATCTGCACCTGTGTGGTCTTCTCTTCCAGATCTCTGACATCTACATCAGTGGAGAGTCTGGAGATATGTCCGCCAAAGAGAAGCTCCTTCTGTGGACCCAGAAAGTGACAGCAGGTTACGTGGGGTTGAAGTGCACCAATTTCTCATCCTGCTGGAGTGATGGAAAGATGTTCAATGCTATTATCCACAGATACAGGTATGAGTCACATCCCCTGGTAGCAGAATGATGCCACAAATTGTACCAGTTGTAGAGGTAACATGACTTATTCTGTAAATTTTGAATTGATGGAAGTGTGAATCCTAAGTTTTGGGATTTCGAGTTTTAATTTTGAAGCTTGGCCTTTGTGGATCCTTTAAAACAGTTCTCACAGCTAAACATTCTACTCACATGTCACTTGACTCAATCTTTAGTGGAACGTTGGACTTGGTTTTGTGGTAAATGTTATGCTCCAAATTTGGAGTATTAGGTACAAAAATGTACCGTGTTCCTACTTGTCCAGTAATCCATGATGGGATATCTGTGCACCTAATTTCAGCTTTCTGAGTGGCCAAATTTAACAATTTTGGAAATTCACTTCATATTTCTGTTTCCAGAGACAGACAAAGGTTGGAGAGAGGGGGGTGGGTGGGCTGGGGTCCTAACGGCACTTTCTTAGGAGTAATGGGGCATATTCTGCTCAGGATTGCTCCAAAAGTGTCTTTCTGGACATTCTTGCAAAATTGATGTCCTGGACGAAAAATATATCAGTTTTTCACTTCCTAGGGAATTGTTTGTTACCTGGGTTTCATCTTGATTCCCTAGTTGTGACGGGGAGAAATTAAAATGTTCAGATTTTTGTAGCAGTTTGGGTGTCTTAGACTACAAAATGCTTTGCTCCAGAGGGTTGAGGAGGGGTGTCCTCTTCTCCCTCTTCCCTTTGCAGAAGTTTCAGGCAGCATCAGCTTGCAAACTCAACACCTTTTTGTTGTTTCCTGCAGGCCAGATCTTGTGGATATGGAAAGGGTGCAGATTCAGAGTGGCCGAGAGAATCTGGAACAAGCCTTTGAGATTGCAGAGCGGCTTGGGGTCACCAGGTTGCTGGATGCGGAAGGTGAGGGGGAAGGCAGTGGGTCTAAAGGTGTGGTGTCAGAGAGGTGGCTTGACTTTCCATAGGGATTTCACAGGATTCATATGGGTCTGGAGATCTTTGTCAGAAAAAAACTCTATCCACATCACATTTGAGGGGCTAGATCTGATTTCACTTCATATTGGCTCTCTCTGAGGAAGGATTAGATGGCAGCTCTGTGCTGAAATGACATGTCACCTCTGAGTAGGCCAGCCAGTCTTTAAAATCCAGGAACCATCTCTTAGGTTTATGCCTCTGCACAGAGGAAAATTAATGGTGTCCAAGCTGAGCTGGTCTTTGCCCAGATGACTAATGCTTTTCTGAACAAAGCAATAAGAAATTAGGATCTACAAAATTAATGGGATATGAGATCATCTACTGTTGTTGAATTTCATAAAGTAAAAAAGATTTGCACTGATTAATCCATTCAGGTTTGTATTGAAAATGTCCAAATGAATGTCAAATCTTAGAGCTGATCTATTTTGCTATCTCTGTAGAGACAAAGCCCATTCTAGAAACCAATCGACACATCCCGCAGAATTGTGTGATGTGGGCTGCATGCAGGGAGGATTGAATGTCCACTTGTTACCCTGTGAGAGATAAAAGCTGTCTTCATATAACAAATGAGCATATTGGAAGAGGAGCATTCTAAACTTGCCTTCTCTATATCCTGGTAGTTTTCCATGTTCAGAGAGTAATTTTTTAAATGTTGGGGTGCTGAAGGTTTGAATGGGTCTCCTGCAGCCTGGCATGGTAAACAGCCTAAGTAAAACCAATATCCTTTGGATCTGCTGTGTGTGTAGAGCAGTTCATGGCCAGCAAAACAGAAGTTAACATTCAGGCTTCCTTTCTTCTGACTTCTTTTCTCCCTTTTTGTCTTAGATGTGGATGTCCCATCCCCGGATGAAAAATCTGTGATAACTTATGTGTCTTCAATTTATGATGCCTTTCCCAAAGTCCCAGAGGGAGGAGAAGGGATCAGTGCCACTGTAAGTTCTGCTGCTATTTGGTCTGGTTTGAATATCTCATCTTTTGCCCAGCTGAATTTTGGAGGTGGGGCAGTCCAAAAGCACTTCAGAGAACGGCAGTAGAGAAGTACATACACAGAGAGGGAAAATTAGTTGAAATGACCAGAAAGCATGGACACTGGCCTCCTACCATGTCAGAGAGAGAAGTTTATATTTCATCGTCTTCAAAATTTTTAAAAGATGTCAGGTTGAGGAGGAAAGGTAGATGTTTGTCCTTTCAGTAGTGGGCAGGAAGAAAAGGAGGAAGTGGCACCTGGCTAAGAAGGAAGATACTCTTATTCATTAAAACATCTGCTAAAGAAGGAAGTCCAAAGGAAGGTGGGCAATCACCAGTCAGGGATGCTTTTGCAGGTATAAAATATCTAGTCTTAAATGATGGGGAGGAGGGAAGAGCTGTGTATGCTGGCTTGAAGTGGGGAGGGAATTAAAGGTAGTAGAGAAACTAGGTGACCCATTTTGTTCCTTTTCAGCTCTGGGGCAAAACCTGGCGCATTGCACAACATGGAATGCAATTGTGTGCGTGTGAATGCATGTACAAACACAGTACACTGGTATTCTAGCAACTATTCAATAGTGATGGAGGCACCTGTATATCCCATCCTCTGTCCTCCGAAGCCTTGCTTCTTACTGGTTCCTGTTTCTTCTCAATGCTTTTCAACATGTTTCTTCTCAATGCTGCACAAACAACATGTTTCTTCTCAATGCTGTGTCCAAGGCAGCATACAGTGGTGGTAGAAAGTGCTGTCAAGTCATTTCTGACTTATGATGACCCTGTAGGGGTTTCAAGGCAAGAGAGGAACAGAGGTCATTTGCCGTTGCCTGTCTCTGTGTAGGGACCCTGGACTTCCTTGGTGGTCTCCTCATCCAAGTGCTAACCAGGACTGATCCCCCAGTGATAACTCATTGCATCCATTGGGACCAAAGCTACGTTGGAAAGCCATTTTTCTCATTCCCACACCACTCCCCAGACAATTTAACCCAATGGAGTGGTCCACTGAATCAAAAATCTCTGTCACCCTTCACAATTAACAAAGAAGCATTGGACTCTATCCCTCTCTAAATAGAGATCATATATCAGAGCAGTGGTTGCTGCCTGTGCGCTGCAGCCACACTGAAAAGGAGCAAGGGCAGGTGTATCTCTCAGCCAGGGCATCTTGCTATTACCCATTCAATGGGTTTTCCCAAAAAACCACAAATTTGAAACTGGTCAATAGTTGTTCGGATCTTCTTGAGATACATTGGCTTTTTTTAGTACAGCAGCATCCTTGTTCAAAGGGCCAGGAGGACTTCTCTCTGTTAGGGACTGATTCATTATATTAATGAGTAGAACTGTAACTTACTCTTGACAAGATTTTATAAGCCAGGAGGAAAGGGGGCCTAATTTACAGACAGTGGGTTAATTTTTCCAGTGGGGCAAAAAATACAGCTACAAGAAAGAACTCTGCCAGCATCCATCAGAAAGATCTATTTGAATCTATCCATAACAACTGGACTAGAAGGTGCTCCCACAATCTCTCTGTTTTCAAGTTAGCATTCAAATCATGTGGGATCAGAAAAAAATATATCTGCAGGGAATGTTCCAAAATAGTCACTGTATATGGGCAAATCTCTTTTCTCTTAAGGAATCCATTCAAGGAGCCATCAGATTTCAAAGTGCCCTAAATAATTTAGCTGGATAAGATGCCGTGGAGGAAAAAAAGAACTAATTTGTAGCTATCTCCACCAACTCATCAGCTTTCAAATGAGCTCTGTAGCATACTCTCTCTGATTTGCTGTAGCTTGTGCAGCTTCCGCACTGAGGTCTCTGAAAGCGCCCCCCCCCCCTGTTATGTTTCCTCAGCAACTCACCAAGCCAGGGAGCTGGGAGTTCTATTTGGCATTGGGGGAAATGATCCCAGGAAGTGACTATCAATTGCTCTGTGAAGGAATGGACTCGCAAGCCCCATTCCCTCATGTCCTGGGAACCTGGAAAAGCCCCGCATCCATCCCACATCTCCACCTAGTGATTTTGTTGAATGCATTGATTTTATGATTTATGATTTTGTTAAATGCGTGTCTTTTTCCTTTATCTGTCCCAAGTTGGTCAGGAGCCATCTTTTGGCAGTGCAAACATGTACCTTAATATTCCTTCTTTTCTCATCTTGATATTTTGTTTGTTTGGGGCAACTTCCTTCAGTAATTCATCCTGTGTAAATGGTCCTCCTTCCTCTTTCCACAGGAAGTGGACACACGGTGGCTTGAATATCAGAACCAGGTGGAATCGCTCGTCTCCTGGATCAAGCAGCACACGATAATGATGTCTGACAAATCTTTTCCCCAAAACCCTGTAGAGCTCAAGGTAGCCTTTGGATGCATTTCTTCCAGAACATTCTTTACTTGCAGTGCAGCTAACTCTTTAGTGAATGATTTCTGGAAGTCTGTCCTCCATCCATGTGGCCAAGATGGTCCTGGGGAGATTTGGGTGGTGATTAGATATGAGACTTGGGGTCAAATCCTAGCTCAGAGTCTGTTGACACAGTCACTTACAGACCAAGAGGCAACAAACCTCTTACTTATGTATGTGTTCAGATCACAGGCTGAGCTGCAAAGTACTAACTGTTGTTAGCAAAGAACTCTTTGATCGAGTATAAACACAGTAACCAGGGTTATAATTTCTGTGGTGTGCAGAGGTCAGTGTTCGGAGAAGCAGGAACTTGAGAATGACCTAAGCAAATGTGGGTGCCTGAAACGTTTGGAATTCCTTGCTCATGTAGACCTTTGGAAAACAGTCCCAAGGTAACACTTGCTGAGGGTTCTCGTTGTGCAAGAGAAGCCTTCAGGAGAAGACAGGTTGTGTGTCAAGTCACACACACACACACACGGCCTTGGTCTGCCCATCTGTAAAACCAGAATATCAGCAATCCCTCAGAAATCCATGGTAATGAAGGGAGGGAGTTAGTAGTGGTGACTGGCTGAAGTGCTCCATGTCACAGAGGTGGGGGATGAGACTGTCTGAGCAGAGGATAGGACGGGTTTAAATTACATGCAGAAAGGTATCGGCTGGATATTAGGAAAAACTTTTTCACAGTCAGAGTGGTTCAAAGGTGGGATCAGCTGCCTAGGGAGGTGGTTAGCTCCCCTTCACTGACAGCTCTCAAGAAGAGGCTGGGCGAATATTTGTCAGAGATGCTTCAGGCTGGTCCTGCATTGGGCAGGGGGTCGGACTAGATGGTCTGTATGGCCCCTTCCAACTCTGTGATTCTATGATTCTGTGATTCAGATCCTCAGGGAGAAATTACTGTTCACCTGGGCTAGGGTTCCAGAAAACACAAAAAAATATTGTCTGAACAATATCTGGTGAGACAAGCCGCAGGATGGCAAAGCTTCTTAGCTGCCACGAGTAGTTGGTTGCTGTGGTTTACCTTCAACGTGCATGGAGGGAGGACCTGCCCATTTCTCCAGAGGCCGTGACTGAGGTTGCATAACTTTGATTAGAATCCAGGACCTTGACAAAAATCTGAGAAAAACGTGTGATTTTTGTGAGGGTCCTTCTTAACTGGGCGTACAAATGTCAGCAAAAAACATAATACCTTGTAAAAATGCCCTTGGGCCCTGAATGTTGGCAGAAGAAGTCTGTGGAGGATCCCATAGAGAGGGAACAGAGTCTTCTCAACCTGGTAGATTTCAGAGAGGCTTCAGGTGGAACTGTTTCCATGGCCCCAGAACCTCACTGCATTGCTTGCTATTTGCTACCATAGATGAACACTTACAGAGAGACCCTGTGGGTGAGGATGCTTGGTATTTTCTCAGAGCAAATAGGAAAACTGTGGGGTTGATTCTCCTCATATCTCAATTCTTGTAGGCACTTTATAACCAGTACATACACTTCAAAGAAACAGAGATCCCAGCAAAACAGCAAGAAAAAAGAAGAATTGAGGAGCTGTATAAACTGCTGGAGGTACGATCTTGGATGGGTTGAATAATTTGACTTTGGTTTTAAAAATCCACAATGTTACCTTTGCTTTAAAAAATTTCTATGAAAAAGTAGGGCCAGCATGTTTTTCCCCTTATGGGCTTCTTATTTTGTTTATTTGATTTAATTATTTTAAACTGATATCTTCTGCTCATGATCCAAAGCTTACAGGGTAGGATGCAATAAGTAATCTTCTGTCACTAAAGCAACTGATACAGTTAAAATCAGAGAACAATAAAACAGTACAAAGCTTTAAAAAAAACCCTAATGGATTCAAGGCCCGAGTAGAAAGCATGTATTTTTTGCCTGGCCCTTAAAGCAGATGCACAACTGTGGAGGAAACTGATATTGGGGCTCCTTTTGTGGACTGGTTAAAATGCACTTATTGGATCCTTACTATACAGTCATTTTATGTAAGGGATATGGTGACAAACAGCAGGGTCAAGAAGACGTGAAATACAGGAAGTACAGCGTGTAAAATCCAAATCTAATGAAGAAAAATAGACCATTCACTAGCTATGCCATTCACTAGCTATGCTAAGCTAGTTAGCACCTGTAATAGGTAGGGAATCCAGGTTTTGAAAAGATAGTTAACACCTGTAATGAGCAAGAAATCCCAAGTCATTGCTCCAGTGGGATGTGGGGGGAGGGGTTAGTATGAAGCCTTTTAATGAATCACAGGTCAGCAGTTTCATGATGGAATCTCCCTTTGAATTTCTTTTGCTGAATAATTAGGAATTTCGAGTCTGAAAGAGGACTCAGGGAGACTGAAAATTTCTTCCACTGGTTTCTCAATAGTCCAAGTTTTAATGTCACATTTCTGTGGGGAGGGAGTTCTGCAGTTGAAGTGTTTTTGTGTAAAATGCTGAATCTCTTAAGTTGCCACCAACCTTGTGGGGGGAGGGGTGGAATCACTTACGGAGAAGGGCCTCAGCAGAGTGTCTCGACTGGTCTAAGTCTCACTGGCAAACTTTTACCACCTCAAATGTGAGAGGCCACTTTTCGAACTCTGCTTTCTGTTAACTATCCAGTAAAGGTGAGCAACCATGTTCATGAGAGGGCCACAGAAAGTGGTTGATCAGGTCCCCCCTCCAAGTAACCTGCCTGCAGCCCCTGTCACTCCACCCACTCCATCTCTACTGTAATTGGGGCCACTCTTTTTTTGTTGACCAGAAAATGGTCCGGCCAAAAGCTGCTCTAAAAATAGTAGCCTCATAGATGGAGCAAGCAGTGGAGGAGATCCTCTGTGTACCCCTTCCCCTTACAAGCATGCTGCCCTTGACTCATACAGAACCTTGCTCAGCTGGGCATTTCATACCACACACAGGATTTCTTGGAATCAGATGAAGGCAGTTCTGATGGGGAGTGTGCTAAGCTTTGAAAAGTAATTGTCAGATCCCCAGATAAGCTTTCTCTTCATGGGCTGGACCTTGCAATAATTCATATACCTGCCGGGGTGGGGAGAAGAGAAAGTTCTGCTCCTGACTTTGGACAAGGCTCCATTCTGTCAGTGTGTGTCACAGCACAGGGTTGGGAACAGAACATGTGAAGTTTTGGGAGCTGCATGTATTCTTCCTTGAGTCTCATTTCTAATCGGCAAGGTTGACTGTAGCTGGCCTTATTTCTATCCCAAGCCCTTGCTCTGTAGTGGTGAGGTCAGTCCCACACTGGGACTGAAATTTACACTGACCTTGTAGTTGAATAGAGTGGTTGGTAGCTGTAAGATGACAGAGGTTAATGTGGTAACCCCAGGAAGATCTCTCCCTATAATGCATAAGAGACCTAATGCTTTTTGGGTGGTAAAAATGGCTGGGTTACACCCCCCCCCCCGGTGTGCATGGATTTAGTCCCAGCCAAAAAGCTGGAGCACCCATCTGAACTTGTTGACCTAGTGACCTCTGGGGCAAGGCCGGGGAGGAGGCCTCCCCAGAGGCCCCAAAAATGTCACAGTGGGCCATAGACACCAGGTGCTTTCCCTTGTGCCTTTCAGACCTGGATTGAATTTGGTCGCATTAAGCTGTCCCAGGGATATCACCCCAACGATGTGGAGGAAGCCTGGGGCAAGCTCATAATAGAGATGTTGGAGCGTGAGAAATTGCTACGGCCAGCAGTGGAAAGGTGAGTGATGGGCTCTAGATATGAAGAATAACAGTCTTTCCCAGGTTGATGTGAGAAGGATGGTAGCAGCAGTCGTGAACCACTTTGTCTGCTCATAAAGTGGCATTCAAAATATAGCAACCTTGATTATGAACATTGTATAATATCTATCCTGTTCCTGAATATCTGAAGTGAGTGCAGTTAATCAGTGTAGGACTACCAAAGCAGAGTGGTCTACTCACCTACTTCCATATGAACCTGCCTATCCACTACAGTCATGTTTGGGTGCCCCTGCCATCTGAGACTAGAATAGAGGCCACCCAAGAAACGGCCTTCTCAGTTGTAGCACCGAAACTTTGGAACTCCCTCCCCAGGAAGATTAATCTATCATTGTCTTCTGGCAATAGGTGAAGATTTGTTTTGTTTTGTCCCTGTTTGTGTGTTCATGTGTAGGGGTGTGCAAAAAAAATAAATGGTAAAATTCGGATTCGGATTTATTGAACCCGATTTGTTTCGGGAAACCTGAAAAAACCCGAAAATTTTTGGGAAACCCAAAAAATTTGGGTCCATTATATCTAATGGGGCAATTGAAGTCAATGGCAAAAATTCTCTGGAAAGTTTGCAGGGGGCTGGGGGGGAGGGGGTTTGAGGTAGAGGCTCCGTTGCTGCTCCAGCCTCTCCCCAAATGACCCCCAAAGTTTTGAGAAGATTGGTCCAGGGGGTCCAATTCCAGGGGCATCCAAAGAGGGTGCCCCCAGATCAGCTTGCTGCATTGCCTGTCTGTTGCAGGTTTGCTGCCGAAATTTGGTGGCAATTCGGCCCCATTATATCCTATGGGCCATTTGGCACAATATGGGGCTTTACCGGGAATCCCGAAAAAAATTTTTTTGCACACCCCTACTTGGGCCCAAAAAGTCTTCCAAATTCTTACCTGTCTGTTCAGAGCAAGCAGCACAGTTTCCCCTAGAACATCAGCCTTGTCCCCCATCATCACCCAGCAATGAGTTTGTAATTATAGGAAGGGAATAAAGGCTGTATTAAGTGGCAGTTTCTTTTGGTGCAGGTTGGAATTGCTGCTACAGATTGCAAACAAAATTCAGAATGGGACTCTCAGCTGTGAAGAAAAACTCACCCTGGCAAGAAACACACTACAGGCGGTGAGCATTGACATTTCCTCATTGGTTGGCATCTTTCTAAGCTTCCTTCGGACTCACCTTTAGGCAGGCAAGGGAAAATCCACAAATCCTTTAATGGAAAAAGAACTGGCCTTTTGTCAGGTCTGGCTTCCTTCAGATAAGTATACCAGATTGAGGACTGTTTTCCACAGCCTCCAGACCTCCCAGACTTAGCTGTATTCTTTACTCACGTGTCTGTTGGGAGTGAGTGAGGTTTCCTGGAGTTCTCTTTAGCCCCTCTTTTCCGAGGGCTTCCACCACTCATCTCTGTTTCTCATTCTGTTGTTGTTCCTTCAGCTTGGCATCCCATTCCTCAGACTTGAATGCCCCCTTCCTTTCCAGGTGTATAGTCTTGCACATTTCTGTCTTAATGAATAGTTTCTTACTCACACTCACACACAAACACATGCACACACACTGTTGAGCAACTGTCAAGTTACTCACTTCTTCTCATGGATATTGGTGACATTTCATGATATCAGACTTCTTCCCCATGGAATACTGGAGAACATGCGATGACATCATTACATCTCAGCCATTGGCTGGCTGGCTGGGACTCACAAGTAACACTTTTTAAAAAAAAATACAGGCCTGTGCAGATTTATTATCCTTGCTTATCTGGGTATTGTCAAGCATCTTGCTACAATAACCTTGGATCCTCTTTCTTCCAGGATGAAGCACATCTGGAGTCAGGTCAGCTAGTGCAGTATGAATCCAACGTTGTCATATATCTCCAGGAGTGTGAAGGGCTCATCCGCCAACTCCAGGCAGATGTTCAGATACTCCGGGATGAAAACTACTACCAGCTGGAGGAGCTGGTCTTCAAGTAAGGGGTGTTGGTGTGTGCCTTGTGGGGGCTAGACATTCAGCAGGGTAGGATGTCATGGTAATGCTGGGGGGGACGCTTGATTTCAGGCTTGTCTTGCTAGGGAGCCCATTCCACCAGGTTCTCCTGCCCAAGCCTAGTAGCAATGAATGGGAAGCTACTCAAGAGCTTGCTCTGTTCTTGTGCAGTTCCTGTTGCTCCAATCAATATCACCCAGGTGGTCTTCTTAGCAGATTCCTCCTGGCCCAGTATCCCTCTGCCTCCCACTATCCTGTGCTTAATGGTACCCTGATTCCTGTGCATGAGATGGCACCTTGCCTAGCCTCTTGGTAGGCTTGATGCCACTATTAAGGGAAATTACGCTGGGAAGCATCACTGTACCCCCCCACCCCCCCAGTCTTTAAGGGAGAAGAGAACCCTCAAAGCCATATTTGGAGCTGGAGATGAAAACCTTCTTGGAAGGCTTTCTGCAGCAAAGATATCCATTCCCTTTCTCAAAGCCCCTTGCAATTATGTTCTCAGTATGGGCAGAAGTGTCCTGCCAACCTAGCAGTTGGAAAGCAAGAAATTGCAAGTAGAGGAATAGTTACTGCTTTGGTGGGAAAGTAACAGTGTTCCATGTGCCTCGGCGTCTAGTCATGGCGGCCACATGACCACAGAGACGTCTTCAGACGTCTTAGGCTTGGAAACAGAGATGAGCACCGCCCCTTAGAGTCGGATTCGACTGGCTTTCAAGCAAGGGAAACCTTTTATGGGCAGAAGTGGGAGGGAAATCCTGGCTCACATGTGTCTGGGTTCTGCTTCCTTTGGTTGATGTCTTGATGCTGCAAGCGACAGTCTGATCTCCCTCCTCTCGGCTCTCTCCCAGGATTGTCCGGCTTCAAGATGAGCTGGTTACCCTGAGGCTGGAATGCACCAATCTTTACCGGAAGGGGCACTTTTCTTCCCCTTCCTCCCGGGACTTGCTGCAGCCTTCCTCCTTGAACACCACGCACCTTAAGGCCGATCCCTTGCTGAAGGGAACGCACACAGCCACCACCACCTCTACCTCCTGGTTCCGGAAGCCGATGACCCGCACTGAGCTGGTGGCCATTTCATCCTCGGAAGATGAGGGCAGCCTCCGGTTTGTGTACGAGCTGCTCTCTTGGGTGGAAGAGATGCAGGTGGGTTGGCCGACATACATGGGGAAAACGTACAGGGAGGCTGTAGGTAACAGGGGCAGGGGACCCTTTCTGCCCATGTTCAGGTTAGCTGGCATTGATTGGCTGCCCCTTTGTGCTGGTTTTCAGCTGATCCAGTGGGTATATATGGAAGGAAGTGTGACAGATTTTATATTTGGCTTTGTGTCAACTTTTTACTTGGTGGGAAGTGCTGTGACTTATGGTGACCAGAAAGGTTTTCAAGGCAAGAGACAAATGGCGGTGGTTTGCCATTGCCCGCCTCTGCGTAGCAATCCTGGTGGTCACCAGAGGTCATTTCGGGGGGGAACGCAGTTCCCCCGGGTGAGGTGCAGGGGGGCGGGGCACATGATGAAGCCCCGCCCCCTGCTTCCGGCCGCCCCGCTTCCAGCCCTCATTCAGCCAGGAGGAGGCAGGAGAAGAGGGAGGGTAAGTTGCTTCCTCCCTGCCTCTCCCCACCCCTGCCTGCCTGGGGCCAGGGAGGGCCTTCATGGGGCTTCCTTGCACTCCCGCCGGCCTTTCAGGTCCACCGCCGGGCCCCTGATGTCAGGGGGTGTGGCATATGCTAATGAGTTATGCTAATGAGTTCCCCTAGCTCTTTTTCTACGAAATGACCCCTGGTGGTCACCCATCTAAGTACTAATCCAGGCTGACCCTGCTTAGCTTCTGAGATCTGACAAGATCAGGCTAGCCTGGGCTATCCAGGTCATGGCTTTTTCCTCTCACTAAAGCCTACAAATTTTGAATCCAATGGCATCTTTAAGACCAACAAAAATTTATTCAAGATATGAGCTTGAGCTTTTGTGTGCACACACACTTCCACAGATACACTGAAAAGAAGTTAACAGTTCATATACAGAGGCAGATGTCTCTACATAGGTGAACAGCAAATTAGCATACAACTTAATGAAGATGTTTTGACATATGCAAAGACTAAAACACCAATAACAAGCTAAGTTCATATGGTCACCATTTGTTTGGATTTCATAGGGGGGAACAGTGAAGTAATAAATAAGTCAAAATAGATGTGTAAAAGTATCCTTTTAAAAGTAATAAACTGTGACTGTTATTACGCAACATTTGTCTCCTTTCAAGCATGGAGTTAACTAACAACATGTATCTGAGGAAGGGTGTGTGTGCACACGCAAGCTCATACCTTGAATAAACTTTTGTTGGTCTTGAAGGTGCCCCCACTGGACTCAAACTCTGTTCTGCTGCTTCAGACCAGCACTGCTGCCCACCTGGATGTAAAGCCTACAAAAACAGTATCAATGTGTCTTGGAGGCTAAGGAGGAATCATGTTGTTAATTTAAGAGTAGGGGAAAACAGTGCTGTAAGATAGTTTGAAATCCTCCAGATGTGATCTGGCCAAATAGAAAAAGGCTTAAACTGGTTCTTAAATATGCCATGGCTCTGGTTGTGGAGACCCTCCTCATGAAGGGAGTTGCACCATTGGGAACCAGCTCCCAGGAATGCTTCTCTGCATGCTCTGTGAAAGGTAAACATGCTCAGTGCTTGCTCGTGTTTCCAAAATGTGCTTATTCACTGAGATGGGACAGAGGGGAAGGAAAGAGCCAATGTGGTGTAGTGGTTAAGAGTGTCAGACTAGTATCTGTGAGATCTGTCTTTGAATCCTCACTCGTGCTATGGAAGCTCACTGGGTGACCTTGGGCCAGTCACACACTCTAAGCCTAACCTACCTCACAGGGTTGTTGTGAGGGTAAAATGGAGGACGTGAGAATGTTATAAAAGCCGACTTGTGTCCTCATTGGGGAGGAAGGTGGAGTACAAATGAAGTAAATAAATAAATAAAAATAATGTTGGCACAAGACTTGGCCCTGATGTTTAGGGAGGAAAGGCAGTACTCAGCAGAGGCAGGCGGGTGTGATCGTCCCACCTGATTGATAATGTAGCATTGTGTTTTAGGTCACTTACTGTGGTTTAAATATTGTATTTTATTGTGTGTTTTATTGTATTTTAGATCCCGGCTTTGCCGCTGTGAACCGCCCTGAGCCTTTGGGAGGGCGGTATAGAAATCTAATAAATAAATAAATAAATAAATAAATAAAAGAGACTGTACCTAGCAGTGGGCGAGGGAGGGCTTTCTGGCCGATGCTGATTGGCCGCCCCTTTTTGGTGCTGGTTTCAGATGAAGCTGGAGCGGGCCGAGTGGGGAAATGACTTACCGAGTGTGGAGTCTCAGCTGGAGGTACAGCGGCATATCCACACCAGCGTGGAAGACCTCGGCGCCAGCGTGAAAGAGGCCCGATTGTATGAGGTAAGTGGGCAAAGCAGTGGCAGATTTTACCCTACTTTGAAGAAGGAGGTGGAGATGCAGAGGACGAAGCAGCCATTATTAGAATGAAGGATGTGTGAGGAAAGACGAGAAGGTGGGTTTGCTCTTGGCCTGGGGAAGGGAGGGCACCGTACTTCAGCTTCCGGGGGCTTTTCTATGCAGTCACTGTCTGATGTAGCATGGAGAATGTGAGATGAGTCTGAGTAACTTTATAGCAAAATAGCAAGGCTGTTCCCACTGGAGGTTATGCCCCCCCCCTCCCCAGTTGCAGTTCTTGTCGCGTGGAAGAGATGTGATGGGACTGCTGCTGGATTGTCTGCTTGTATATCCTGGAGGCAACCGTTCTTCGGGTGGCACGGGAAGGGCTGTAAGGGAGGGCCGGGTTGAGGCTGGAGAAAGAGAGCTATGCCACCCTGTGTGCTTCATTGCATTAATTTCATTTTGGATTTGGGTGGAGTGGAATTTGGGGAATGGGAGGATTTCAACAGCAGCCTGGCCTGGAGCACTGTGCATGGCCTGCTTCCAGCTTCTGGATCGTTTTTTCTTAGGCTTGTGACGTTAATTCAGTTTTCAGTTAGAGTAACTACTTAAGAAACTTTTGAGTGACCGAAAGGGTGTTTCTGATTAATCAGGCAGCTGGTATTTTTAAATATGGACAATATGGCCAACGGGCAGGGGTGAGGCCTCTGTATCAGCTGTGACAGGTATGTACATCATCTGAAAACAAAGATTACCTTTGCTTCAATTGAATTTGACGAAGACGGAGGTCCTTTGCCTGAATTGGAGTGGCTCGGGGTTAGGGGTCCCTCTTCTGGCCTTCAGTGGGGCACCGCTGGTGCCAGCGCCGAGCGTCAGGAGCTTGGGAGTGCTCCTGGATGCTTCCTTGAGAATGGAGGCCCAGGTAGCAGCCACTGCCAAGGCAGCCTTTTACCATCTTCGGCTGATTAGGCAGTTGGTTCCCTTCCTCGAAAGCAATGATCTGGCTGCAGTGATCCATGAGGCGCTTCCCAGATGTTCGTGTCTGATTGCACCCTTTAAATCCAACCGGCATTTACTCCTATGTCGGGGCTAATTGTGTGTGTGATCGCAGCCATGACTACTTAAAAATCAGGATAGATCCTGTTGGTCAGCCATGTTGGTCTAAAGCAGTGGAACAAATTTAGAGTCCAGTGGCACTTTTAAGACCAACAAAGGTTTATTCAAGATATCAGCTTTTGTGTGTATGCACACTTCCAATGTATTTGAAAAAGCTTGCATGTATATAAAAGCTCATACCTTGAATAAACCTTTGTTGGTCTTAAAGGTGCCACTGGACTCTAAATTTGTTTTAAAAATCAAGAAGCACCTCTTCTTTTTATTACTTTCTGTTTTGTTCCCTTCTTTTAGGGTAAAATGTCCCAGAATTTCCATACTAGTTACTCAGAGACGCTGGCTAAGCTGGAGACTCAATACTGCAAACTGATGGTGAGTGTCTCTTGACACTTTTTTGTTTTATATGGCCAGAAGGGTCTTGGAGTGTTACCATCTCTTTTGAGTCCTGCCCTTATTACAGAGTTTTCATAGTGGAGACGGGGACACATAAATTGTTCCAGGCTTTTAACAACAGGGGGACATACATGTAAAATTCACCCTCTGTGTATGTGCTTGTATATCTGGGGACTTTTCTTCAAAGTTAGTGCACTTCTGTTTCTTTCTTGTGATGCACAATCTGCTTTCTCTCATCCTTTGGAAATTTGGCTTCTGAAGACTTGAAAGTGTGATTTTCCCCCAACCTGGGGAAATACAGTTCTTTCCTTAAGCAGCACATATGTTGGGGGGGGGGGGTGTAGACAAGGTGTGCAAATCTGGGTTTAAGCAGTGATGATCTGTAGTACTCTCTTCCTCACCTCCCACCCCATAATTGGGATTCTTCGGTGACTGCTTTTAACTTGAAAAAACTTGGCTTCAGAAGCTATGCGAACAGCACCATGTCCCTGTTGCATCTGCAACATGACGGCAGAATATGGCTCTGTGCTCTTTGGTAAGGGATTTGCAAAGAACTGAAATGTAGCTGGGGTCCTCATGCAGGGAGGCCCTAAGAAACAGTTGGATGGCGCTTGGCAGTTTGCTGGCCTTGGAAGGGTGTTTGGGAAGGTGTGGTGTCTTGCAAACAATCCCCAGAGAAGCCGTGGGTGCACCAGTTCCATCTTATCTCCGCAGGAGACCTCCAGCTTTCGATTGCGCCACCTCCAGAGCTTGTACGCATTTGTGTCTCAAGCCACCACAGAGTTAATTTGGCTAAATGAAAAGGAAGAGGAGGAGCTGGCTTATGACTGGAGCGACAACAACCCCAACATGGCGGCCAAGCGGAACTATTTCTCGGTGAGTTGATACCACCAGCATATTCCTGTGTGATCTGTAGAAGTGAAGTCACTGAAAGGGCTCCACTGGAGATGAGAGCAGCAGAGGACGTATAACCACAATAGTTTTTGTGTCTTGCTGAAGTTTTGGATTTTGGAAAAGGCTAGGACAATTGCGGCAGTCTACACCAACCCTCCTCCTTTTGCTTGAAGTTCTGCTTTTGATTTCTTCTGATCTTTATATTTGAGTCTTTGTGGAATTTGGAAATATTGAGGCAGCAAGACCAACTTGCCCTGTTCTGGATAACCCAGGCTAGCCTGATCTCATCAGATCTCAGAAACTAAGCAGGGTCAGCCCTGGTTAGTACTTGGATGGGAGACCACCAAGGAAGTCCAGGGTCTCTACACAGAGGCAGGCAACGGCAGACCACCTTTCTTCGTCTCTTGCCTTGAAAACCCTCTGAGGTCACCATAAATCAGCTGTGACTTGACAGCACTTTCTACCAAGACTAACTTGGCTAGGTTAATACTGTTTTTTGTCTCTCTGTGTGTGTGTGTGTGTTTGTGTTTCCCATGAGTGTGCCATTTCACTTTCATTAAACCTTGTAATAGCCCGTGAGATAAGCAGGCTGAAAAATGAATAAGGGGTCAAGAGGCAGCCAGGAAACTGATTGATTGGGCAGGGAGTTGAGCTGGGGCTTCCTGAATGCTCCCTTGGCCCAACTTTTCAATATCTCAGCCAAAGGGGCATTTTTCTCATTATGTTGCTAACGGCTTTTAGGTAAGTATTGAAGCTGTAAAAATCCATGACTGAGTCTCCCAGCCTTGTTTCATCTTCCCTCCCCTCACCCCCCCCGACTTTAGATAGAGGTCAGCAGAAGTCCAGTGTTAATGCAGGAAATGTAATTTGGCCTTTGCACACCTCTGGTCCACAGGAGCTTACAGTGGAACTAGAGGAGAAGCAGGATGTGTTCCGTTCACTGCAAGACACGGCTGAGATGTTATCATTGGAGAATCACCCAGCCAAGCAGACGGTGGAGGTAAGGGATGACTCAAAGGGGATTGTGCTGGCGTAGATGGGAATTTCTGGTGCACTTAAGACAAGAGGAATATATTAAAGGGTGTTTTGCATGTCGTGTAGCAGCCAGTGTGTGCTTGCTGTGTCTGTATATACAGTAGGAAGCCATGACCAATTGAGGTTCCCTGGCATGCTCAATAGAAAACATACATCTAGCCAAAAATGTGTCAACTGCATGTTAACACTCTTGGGCGGCAAGAATTTTTTTTTGCATGTGGCTGTAAAAAAAGCAGTGTGTGAAGTGGTCATTTTGCTACATTAAGTGTTCTAGGGCCCTTCTCAACTGGTAATTTGGAGGGGGGGTTATGCACAGGATAGAGGCCTCTCTGTATGTTTCTTTTGTGTTTTAAAACCACATCTCAGGTGAAACCCTCAGAGCAGCCTCTCCAAGTAAATCTGCATAAATTACTAACACCCCAACACCACTTGAAATGTGACGAACCTGCTTTCCAATACCGGTATCTCATAAGCCATATGGCACAATTTGGAAATTAACCAAAGAGCCGAATCACTTCCATGTTGGTAAAGTTTCCCAGTGTGGTCTTCCAGGAGTGATACTTTCTTGCTAGAGGCAACTGGGCAAGTTGCTATTTAGGGTGTCCAACTACTGGACAAGGAGTAGGCAATGTCTGGCAGCTCCTCCTGGGACGGCCTCTGGCAGGTGGCAACATCCATTCCCTGTTTCTCCAAAGGCCACCTAGTCTGTGTTCGGGCAAGCGCTTCATTTCATTGTGCTTCTTCCAGGCATACAGTGCAGCAGTGCAGACTCAGTGGCAGTGGATCAAGCAGCTGTGCTTGTGTGTGGATCAGCACGTGATGGAAAACACAGCTTACTTCCAGGTATGGTCAGAGCCAAAAGTTCCCTCATAAAAAGGGGGGAGGCACTTTGCAGTTGAGAAATGGCTACTGCAGCACCAGCTCGTTCTTGACTTAGAAGAACTGGTTAGTTGTAGCAGGTCTCCAAGAACAGAGGAGAGCTCTCCTTCCCAGTTGAAAGAAGAGTTTAGTGGGCCCAGTTCTCTAGCGTCGAAGGCAGCATGAACCCTTTCCTGCCTGCTTTCCTACTAATCAGACAGCAGGGGAATGCATAGCAAGTCCATTTTCTTTTCTGCCCCAACAAAACATCTCTGTCCTGAGCTTAGCCAAAGAGCTCTTGCTCTAATAATGTAACTGATAGGACAAAGTGGCCTCCTTTGCTTGTTTGTTTTGATGCTGAAAAAGTCTTTGACTGCGTTGAAAGTATTTCTTAATCATGTAGCATTTGTACTCTGGCTCCAGTTTTTAGTCCACTAGTGTTATAAGAAACTCTTTCTCATCTTTTGGTCAATGGGGAAACCCTCTGTGCCCTTGCAGTTTTTCAGCGACGCCCGGGATTCAGAAGGGTACTTGAAGAGCTTGCAAGACACAATCAAAAGGAAGTATTCTTGTGACCGTAACACCAGCCTGACCCGCCTGGAGGACCTTCTCCAGGATTCCATGGTGGGTGCTCCTTGGACAGCTCCCGAGATCATGCTGACTTGGTGCCATATGCCACAAAAGCTGCCGGCCTGCGAGAACACCCCCAGATCCTTTCTTATCTGAAACAGCCTTTCTTGGATTTTCTCTCTTGGTCTAACCTTGTAACTAGTATTCCTATTTATCTGGGACTCCCTAACTTGTTTAGATGAGTGTGCTGGTATGGAGACTGAGCATAGCTGTCTGCTCTGTGCTATTCAGCCTGTTTTTCCTTTCAGCTGTTCCCATGCCTGTATTGCTTAGCTGCCCCAGTGTGTTGCCTGTGTTCTTGGGGACAAAACTCAGCATGGGGTTTGGTATACTCAGCCTGCCCCTTATTTTTGTTTTGCTAGCTCAGGCTGCTGCTCCTACTATGTGTCTTGAAGACTGAGTCTGTCCGTTGATCTGTGTATCCTGGCATTGTCTATCCTCGCTTGCAGTAGCTCTTTGGGGTCTTAGGCAGAGAAATGTTTTCCCCAGAACCTGCTGTCTTGAGATCCTTTGCTTGGAGATGCTGTGGACTATACCTGGAAACTTTTACATGCCTAGCCCGTCTTCAGATGAGATTGGTGGCCCAACAGCTGCAGAATCTGTACAGAACTGATGTAGCCCCTACCCATAAGACATGATGTTGTGTGCTATGGGCCATCAAATCACTTCCAACTTACTGTGACCGTAATGACCTCTAAAACATCCTACAATTGACAGTGTTGCTCAGGTCTTGCAAACTGAAGACCGTGCCTTCTTTTGAGTCAATCCAACGTGTTCAGTCTTCCTGTTTTCCTACTTCCTTCCAATTTTTGTAGCCTCAGATTGACAAGCCAGTACTTGGCGAGGTGGAGATGAGCGAGGGGAAGGTAGGTTTGGCAACAGTGAGTTGAACTGGGGAGGCATAGAGTGGTTCAGGGAAGGCTTTGCTGGTAAACTACACTGTGAGTGTGGGGCAGTCTTTGCTGGGAAAGAGATAGATTGCTGTTTGGTGCCATTGAATGAAAAGGAAAGGCTGTTTGGGGCCATTGCAGCCAAAGGGACCAAGGTGGAAGAAGACAATAAAAAGATGCTGATGAGGAAGAGCTTGAATGGAGAGGCAGGAAGACATATTGAAGGCTGAGAAGGCCCACTCCATGAGGAAGCTGCAGATAGGAGCTGTCACTCCCAAGGATTAACCATAATGTTAAGATCCATTAATTACTCAAGGCATAGAGTTGCCTTTGCCAGAACATATAGGCTGGCCCAGAGAGGAGAAGTTTGAAAGTTGTGGGCCAGGAGGCTTTCAAGAAAGGGTCAGAGGCTCGGGGTTAAGGAGGGAATGATGCAAAACAGTCTTGCTCAATCTCATCAGGAGCAATTTTAAACTGGTCTACTAAGAAGTAAGTCCCATCTTATTCCATGAAGCCTATTCCCAGGGAAGTGTTCTTAGGGTTACAGCCATAACCACAAAAGAAGATGGGTGCCTGCAGCTGAGGGATGATTGCATTAGCACAAACCGTTCTGTGTCTCTATTTTTGCAAAGGCAACTAAAAGCCTTTAGTGGTGTAGTCTCTGGAACTGTTATGTTTGTAGACCTGGAGGTCCAGTGTAAGACAGGTTTGGCCTTGTGAGATTTTCCAAAGGCGCTTTGAAGAGAAAGCTTTGTCCCCTGTGTGTGATGTGTCCCTTTATCATAATGAATGAGTTAAAGTTGTATTTCTTCCAACCATGCTCCCCTGGGACAGGCACAGGTAGCTTGTTTTTAACCACTCTCTCTTGCTCCTTTCTTTGTCTGTCTGTCTTTCTCTTTTGCTCTCTCTCTCTCAGGTTCTGTACCTCTTAAGTAAAATCATCTACATTCCTAAACAGTTTTTTCATGCAGTTCAGTGGCTATTTTACTGCCTTGTTTCACAAAGATCGAACATTCTCCCCCCCCCAATGTATTTTCATTGAAAAGGAACAGGTTTGAGCCTTGTGGTACAATTTACAGATACTGCTAAATTTAAGTCTAGTAGTAATCTGATAATTGTGCATGCATCATTGTGGGGGAGGGAGAGGATGGCAGATAACTAATCCTCTTGTCTGGAATAATATTAAATTGATTTGATGCTGAAATTTAATACTACTCATCATAATACTATATTTAACACTGCACGCTTCCCCCCAGCTTGGAAAAACTGTCACAATCACCATTTTTAGCCCTTGAGACCCCAAAGCAGCCCTTGAAAAATTCTTTCTCGGGCTACAGGAACTATTGACAGTTCTTGGGGTCCCTTTTCTTCCATCCCAAATGTGCTTTTTTGTTTTGTTTTGTGCAGGATGAGAAGGAGCAGTTGATCCAGTCAAAGAGTTCTGTTGCCAGCTTAGTGGGAAGGTCCAAAAGCATTGTTCAGCTGAAGCCACGAAACCCCGATCATGTTTTGAAGAACACTATCTCTGTAAAGGCAATATGTGACTATCGCCAGATTGAGGTAAGAGAATAACTGAGAGAGTAAAACTTAATGTGAACTTTCACTTTTGGAGGATTTCTTGAATCAGAAATTTTGTGACTTTACATCCTGCATTTGGATGTATTCCAGAGCTACACTGAATTTTCTAGTCATAGGAAAACCACTGTTTTGCAGCCTGAATTCTTTGTCTCTAGCATAGGATTATGAGGCAGTGCCTCTTCTGCGGTTTGGATTGTTTCCAGGATTACATAAAATGAAAAATGCTGTTTTATTTGGAGGAAGGGCAACATTTAGGTTGTGGTTGGGAGGTTAAATGTCAGGAAGGGCATTCAGATATTCTTCCTGCAATTTAACAAGGTGGCTTGACCCACTTTAGAGCATCCTTCATTGCACAGAGAAGTTGGAAAGGCCATAGATAAGTCTGTTTTGGGTACAGGAAGCCCTTGGGTTAGCCTGTCTGAAGGAATGGACTTGCAAGCCCCTACTGTTCCTTTGGGTTAGTCCCTGGGAGGTTGGAAAATCCTGAGGCTGTTCCAAGTCTCTGCTTGGTGCTTCTGCCCCTTCCCCTCACCCCTCCTAGGGTGCCAAAAACAAACTGGATAGCTCCTGCTGCCACCAGCGACTCTGAGAGTATTTCATGCTAAATGGAGTCACCCATCTTGCACTCAGTATCTGTGGTGGCATTTAGCAGCTCCACGTAGTTGCTGCACCTCCAGTTTTGTTCCTACAATCTAGCATAGGGGGTGATCTATCACAACTTCGATATTTTGAACTATTGTGCTCCAAAAATGTCGAATGTACCTGCTGCTCCTCCCTGTTAACACACTTCACATAGCAAGACTGAATAGGCATGGTGTGTTTCCTGAGACTGGGCATACAGCATACAAACTATAAGAAAGTTTAATGAATAAAGTTCAATGAATAAAAAGAATACACGTGTTCTGTTCAAGCATCGAGGCTGAGCAAGAGTACACAAAAAAAGGCGAAAACATGCAGAATCATTTTATTATTTTTTATTTTGTAAGCTGCCTCAGGCAGGTTCCTGGAGAGGTGGCATAATTTTTTCTTAATAAAATCATATGCAGTGAAGTGCTCTCTGCTTGGAGCTTGATGGCTAATTCCCTAGCACCCTTTTTCCTGCCCGTTCTGAGTTTGCAGCTGGGATTCAACTTGGCAGGCAAAGTGTAGTCACAGTGACTATTTGGGGTGAATTTTTCCACATGAAGAGCATCTCTTCACAACCTGCATGGTGCATTGGATTGTTTTTGAGGAAAAGGGGGAAAGTTGCAGCTGGAAGCTAACTGCAGTGTTGCTTTTGCTGCCCTCACAGATAACCGTCTGCAAAAATGATGAGTGTGTTCTGGAAGACAATTCCCAGAGGACCAAGTGGAAAGTGATCAGCCCCACAGGGAATGAGGCCATGGTCCCTTCGGTTTGCTTCTTGATTCCCCCTCCCAACAAAGAGGCAATTGACTTTGCCAGCAGGTAAAGGAATATCTGGTTTATTCCCTTGAGTGATGTCAGGCTATCACCCATTAAGGGATGCCTTTGGAAGTTTTGGGGGGTTCTTGAGCTGACAGGAGAGTATTTTGAATTCTCTTCAAGGAAGAAAACTTTCAGCACAGGCTCTATGTGTTTTACATGTTAGCTTGCATAGTGCTGAGCAAAATCTGGAAACTTAGACTATTTATTTATTAAAATATTTATAACCTGTTGTTGCCTTGTGCCTTCCAATCCCAAATTTAAAAGCTTACAAAGTACGATTAACCTGTCTCCCCAAGAAAATACCTATGGTTTTAAACCCCTTAAAAGCCTTTCAAATAAGACAGCCTTGCAATGCCTCCTAAAAACTTATGGAGATGGTTTCGAATCCTAAGAACTATTCTTTTCCCCATAAAGTTCCTCATTCTCCATGTAGACAGAGATAAGTGCAGCATCCTTTGCTTTGTCCAGAGCTACAAAAATCCCTGCTCCCTTCTTACCCAGGCAACCAAACATTATGAAAGAGATGCATGAACTAGAACTACACCTAGAACTCAGAAATCTCCCTGGGTAACATCTTTGTCTTTTCTCTGTGGGACCCTTTTATGTGTAACCTCTGTAAAGGCACCTCTCTGTAGTGCTCTGAGGTGATGTGTGTTATACTGCTTCCTTGCCTTCCTTATTTTCACGGCCACCAAAGGCCATCGCCTTAGAATTCTTAGCTGGACCCAAAGAACAGGATGGCTTAGAATGGTCAGCGTGTGGGGGTGGTTCTGAGGTAAAAGAGGCTCTATCAAAACAAATAGTTGTTTTTCTTAAACATGAATATAAGTAAAATAGTGTAGTGGTTTCTGTATGGTTAATAAGCATGATAGCTTCAGATAGGTACATAAATTGGGGTAGGGTGATTAACAAATCGAATTATTATTATTCATAATAATAATAACTCCTTAAATAGATCTAGCCACATATGTTTTTTTCTCACTTGCCACTTAGGCCAATAACTTCCATATGGATTAATTTCCCAACTTGCCACCCAGGGTAATAACTTCCATACAGCTTATTTTCCTCAATTGCCACTTAGGCTAATAACTTCTACAAAGAACACACATTTCTCTCACAGTACTTTACAGCACTTCACTCAAGCTCCTTTCTCCACACACTCTAACGCTCACACAGAAACACTCTCTGAACAAAACAGTTGACTCCACCATCTAGGGTACAGCTACTATCCAGTTATAACGCACTTCACTCACCCATATGGTCCCTCTTTCTTACTTTACAGGCCTACGTTTTAGATCACAGCAACATACCTTTAAAACTCCACATTGAAACAGAAATAAAACACACACACAGTATTTTCATGGCAAAACACCACACCTATTAAAAGCCCTCTTAAATAAAACAGCCTTGCAGTGCCTCCTAAAAACTTATGAAGACAGTGTTGAACCCTAAGAACTATTATTTTCCTTCTAAAGTACCCAGTTCTCCATGTGTGCAGAGATATGCACAGCATCCTTCGCTTTGTCCCTGCTGCCTTCTTACACTGGCAACTAAACATTATAAGGTTTCCAGTGATGATGGGGCTTGCTTCTAAAAATGGTACACCATTGCTTTTCTTTCTCTCTATTTTTAAACCTACTTACCATTTTGGAACTCTTTGTGGTGTGAGGAACTGCCATGAACCGGCAGATCAATGTACCCTTCTAGGTCCATATTGCCTTCCAGGACTGGCAGGAAGGTGCCTCCCCAGCCCCTCCAGGCCAAGCCATCTTGAGCAGATTCTGAGCAAGACCCCTGAAATTAGAAGTGCTTGAGGAATTATACCCAAGGAGTTGAATGCCTACCAAATTGTGCCAGTTCCCTGGGTAAGGCCCAGTTTTGCTCTGTCTTCCTTCTGTAGAGTGGAACAGTTATATCAGAAGGTGATGGCCCTTTGGCACCAGCTCCATATCAACATGAAGAGCCTTGTCTCCTGGAACTATCTGCGGAAGGTCATCTCTCTGGTGCAGAGCTGGAATGTAGAGAAGGTAATAGTGACTCCCTGTTTATTTTAATGAGAGTCCTGTCCCTTTTAAATATCAAGTGCCCACTCTCTTCCTCCAAGATACCACTAGACAGGGCAGACCAGTTCCTTATCAACCTCCCCTCAGCCAGATGTTTCCCTGAGCTATTGGAGTCGGGAACAAAATACCACTCTTGGAGCCATCATGTGTAGTGGCTAGTGTGTTGGATTAGGATCTGGGGAGAACCAGGTTCGACTCCCCACTCTACCGTGGAAGCTTGCTGGGTGACCTTAGGCCAGTCACATACTCTCAGCCTAACCTACCTCACAGGGCTGTTGTGAGGATAAAATAAAAGAGAGGAAAATTATGTAAGCCACCTTGTGTAACCATGGGGAAAAATGTGGGGTGTAAGTGAAGTGAATAAAATAAATAAATACTGCTTCCCCTTTCAAGCTGCCGCCACATAGCTAGATATATAGGTAGAGGCCTGACTGATTTGTGTGTCCGTAGTTTTGTTTACTGAGACGATTCACTTTCAGTCAACAGGGATGAACTAAAGGGAGTTAACTTTTATTTAAAACTTTAAACAATGCTGGAATGATGTATGTACATTGGTACTATGCTTCTCAAAACTTGAACTCTTGATCCCTAACTCCCCTCATCCTTCCAGTCTTCTCTATCATAATCTTTTTTTCTAGTCAGCTTCCAACTAAACCTCCTTCACTCCCAGACTCAATTTCCTCCTGATTGTTAACTGTCCTCATCAGCATTTCATCTGCTCTCACTGGTTGCTCTCTGAGAGAGGTGGAACTGGACCTGTCCATCACAGTAATGCTGTAAGCCTCTCTGAGAGAATCCTTTTGCCAGGCTGTGAAATCCACTTCCCCTGACAGCCATCTTTCTCCTTCCTTAGCCTTTCATAAATTGCTTGTTGGACAGATTTTAATGCTGCCTGTTTATAACCAGTGCTGTTGAACCTTTTTAAGTAGCTTTAAAAACAAAACAAAAAAAGATCCTGTTAAAAATATTATTAGTTGGTTGAAAGTTGATGGTTTGCTGGCCTTTTTTGTACTAACTGTCATTTTAGTTTGTGTAAATAAATTAAAAATCCCATTCCACTTTGTCTTCTTGTTAGGTAGAGATGAACAGGCAGTTAGAGGGTGGTGGATAGGAAGCAAAATGGGAGTTTTAGTCATTAAAGGTTGAAGTAGAAGGGAGGCAGCCAAGAGGGCATTTTGCTTCTTGGCGGTGTGTGTGTGTGGAGGGGAGGATAAACCAGAAATGCACCACAAGAAGATGTGATTGAAGGTCTACCTCCCATCTTCTGCTCTGAGCCCCCCAAAGAGATAGGACCAGCAACAATTCAAGTTACTTTCACCCCTTCCTCTTCTAGTCAAATTCCACATTGCCTAATAATAATAATAATAATAATAATAATAATAATAATAATAATACCTTATTATTGTTCATATAACCTCCACCTGTGTGTACAAAACTTTCCAGCATAATGAAAAAGAGAAGCTACTGTCCCAAGAAGTTTACAGTCTAAAGAAAATGCTGCATAAACATTTGCTCAGTATAGAATGTCCCCTCCCAGTTCTGTAATTATGCAGCAGGCCTTTTCACTAGCACTCTTCTGGGCCTCCTTTCCTGTTCCCTTAATCCCAGCCACTGAACACCATTTCTGGTGAATAAAGATGCCTCGGAACTGCTTCCTACATGGATCTGGGCTTTGTGGTGGAAAAGCCATGTATAATAAGATCACGTGAAGCATGTTTCTGATGAAGTGAGCGTTGACTCTCGAACGCATATACCCTGGATATTTGGTTGATCTTTAAGGTGCTACTGGAGTTGAATCTGGCTCTTCTAAAGCAGGGGTTCCCAACATGGTGCCCATGGCCTCCATGGTGCCCACCAGCAGCTTTTCTGGTGCCTGCCAAGTTTTTTTTATGAAGTGGGCAGAGCCAGGTAGCAAGGCTTCTGATTGACTATTGGCTATATGGGTGTGCAGATATTGGCCAATCTGTACTTTTAACAGTCACACTGTAGAATCATTTTTGGAGGAAAAATTAACCAAGTGTAGTGAAGCTTGCATGGTTGGTTTGAGCTCTACGGAAACAGGCCCCCCCCCCCCCCAATTCTGCACCATCTTTGTCTGTGGTGCAGTTGTGCTGGTCTGCATCTCTGAAACTGCTGCATCGTCACATGGCATTGGAATGATCAAGGCCTCTGTGTGTCCCCCCCTCCCCCAGCTCAGGGCCTTGCCCCCAGGAGAGTGTCACCAAACCATGAAGAACCTGCAGGTGCACTACACAGACTTCTTGGAGGACAGCCGGGATTCAGAGCTCTTCTCTGTGACTGACCGGTTGCGCCTGGAAGAGGAAGTGGAGGCTTGCAAAGAGAGGCAGCTTCTCCAGTAAATGGAAAATGGTGAGCCTATTGGAGCCAGATTACAATGAGAGGTGGCCCTGGGAGAGAAGTTCTCTTTGAGTTAGGGAAAGCTAAATCTGGTCCCTACATCAATTTGAACCAGTCCCTGGTGTTGCTGTTGGTCCTGCAATTAAGATTTGATAAAAGATAAAAGATCTTTTAAAAGTGGAAGTGAATCTGTTCCACGCTTTGGGTGTTGACTCTGACAAAGTGAGCTTTGACTCTCAAAAGCTTATGCCCTGAAAATCTTGTTGGTCTCTCGGGTTTAGAATCTAATTTTCCAGCTACACTGGAGCTTCAGCTATGGAGCCCAGAGGAGCAGGTCTGATTCGGATGATGTTCATCTGCTGCCGTTTGGAATTGTGAGGCCTCCTGTCCTCCTGTGTTGCCAGCAGCAGGTTGGGAAGAAGAAGCCTCTGTGTGCTTGCTGTTTCCGAGAGGGGATAGGGAAGAGAAGCTGCCACTGTGTTGTGTGTGTGTGTCGTCCCCCCCCCCCCAATTGTGTTATGGAGCTCCTTGTGAACTGGACAGGTTGATAGAGGCAGGTGGGCTAAAGTGGTGGAGTTCCTCTTTTCCTTCTGGGACTGCACCTGTGAGGCAGGCAGAGCTGAGCCACTAATGCTGGAGTGGTCCATATGTGTTACTCATAATTCCCATTCAACAAAGCATAAACATACCAAAGGCCTCTTTCCCACACCAGCTGTTGAGAGCACGGAAGCCTTCAAAATCCCAAGCAGCCTGAGGGAAGGCTTCTGCCCTCAAGAGGAATGAATGTCTGAGTTTGGCCTTATTGATTTTATTAAATTTGTGAATCACCCAGTCCCTGCATTCACAGGGCTCTGGGCAATGTACAACAGTAAATAAAATACAATATAAAACATTCAATACAGTCTTAAAAACAATCCCCCAGATGGCATCGAATTTTAAGCCAGTTCTGGACTGTGTTGCCACTTTGCAGGCAGAACCAGGAGGAGGCCAAAGGAAAAAGCTGGAATAAAGGATGGGGTGCCAGCCATGACAGGGCCGATTGCGTTTATACTTCCTTCCACTGATTTGGCTCTGTTCCCGTTTTTTCCTAGCTTTTTTTACAGCCTGTCTAGTTTGTGCAGCAATATGTGTCCCCCTGAGAGCACAGATGCTGGCCACCCCTGACCCAGACTCTTGTCCAAAGCAGGCCCATCCACCAACACTCCCACAGTTGGTGTGTGCCCTGGCCCACTGAGCACGGCCCCATGCCCAAGGAGCTGCCAGCTCCATACAGTGCTGACAAGGGAGTCAAACCCAATTCTCTTATGTGATGTGAGTGCTGCTGCTGAGGGTTCCTCTTTAAGTATATTACTTTATTGCTATTATGATTTTTCATAGAGTGCTAAAAAATGCCCTCCAGTGAAAGACAGTGGACTGTCATGCCAAACTGTGCAAGGTACAAAGCTCTCTTAGCCAGAATCCGGTCACTGGTCCATCTGGCCCAGTCCTTCCTGCTCTGACAGGCAGCGCCTTTCCAGGGTTTCCAGCAGAGAGAAAGGCCTTACTCATCTTTTGCTGCCAGAGGTCCTGTCACTAGAGATGGGGTGGGGTTAGGGTGGCCAGGTCTTACCTTGCTGCTGGTGTGTGTGGGGATCTTCGCTCCTCCCTGGGAGCTTCAGCTGCATGATGTCATCATGCCACCAATGTCACACGTCTATGTTCTAGGTTTTGGGAAAAACTGTATGGTTTTGAGCCCAAATTTACCATAGAGTTTTGTCCAAAACCTAGAGCGTCGGTGGCTTGATAACATCGCATCTTCTTCGTGGTCTCTGTGCCTCACACCTTGGGATATAGTGCGCCTGCGCCGACCCCGATCGGTATTGTAGAAAGCTAAAGGGATTTTCACCCCCACTCCCCCGTCAGGTGCTGGGCTCAGTGCACATGACTAGGGGAGGGGCACGACCATCCCGCCAGGTCTCTTCTGACCGCCGTGCTGGTAGACCTTCTACTCCTCGGTCGCTAAAAAAGACTTTGGCTTCGACCACCTTCTTTCCCTTTCTAAAATTTGTAGTTAGCTAGTTTTTAGTTGTAGTCTAGTTAGTTAGTTAGGAATTTCTTTCTTTGACTGTCTGCTTCGGCAGACTATTTTTCTACCTCCCTCTTTTCCGGCCTATGGCCAAACGGTGTGGTTTCTTTCGGTGGTGCTGGAAGTGCGGCAGTAAGATTGCCCCCCCAGACGGACAGTCCCTTTGTTTGTTGTGCCTTGGGGAATCGCACCGAGTTGACTCCTGCGCCCACTGTGCCAAATTCTCCCAGCAAACGAGAAAGAATCGGGCAGCTAGACTTTGCGTGGCACTAATTGAATGAGCTCTTTCACCTATGGCATCATCGCAGGAGACATTGGGATATGCCTGAACATTCTCTGACACCGAGCCCACCCGATGCCGATTGCTCAGTGCTGAAACGCCCGATCCTGGCTTCGCAGTCCTCAGTCCATACACCTGCGAAAAAAACCTGGGTGGGCAAGGATGATAGGCCTGTCAAGCACAAGAAGCATAAGAAGTGCTCTTCTACCAAGACTCTGACACCCCAACGCCGGATGGCGGGGGTGAATACAGATGCAGCCACTTCGCTTGACTCCTCAGGCTCACGGAGTCTGAGGATGATATGGTCCTGACGCAAATCTCCTGGTCTCCGAGTTTTCAGAGTCTGCACTCGGACCAGGGAGTGGATAGGGCTCACCCGCCCCAGCAGGACTCTGATGATTGGGATCGATCACCCGGACAGTTCCAACCACCCTCCTGGGACCGATGCCAGTGGCAATACTTGTATGGGGCGTACCCGTTCCCTGGTGGTATGCCCTGGCTTCCTCCTCGACCACCCATAGATTGGGACTGACAGTCTACTTCATCCAGGCTGCCTCGGTATCGAGAAGTTTCTTTGACACTGGAGTTCGCGAAACCGCAACTTTCAGTACCGATGAACAAGCCGCGCAAACCTGCACCATCAATACCAACACATTCCAAAGACAAGTCAGAACCGATACAATCGACACCGATTTGCTTGGCACCATTCTCTGACCCTTCAGAGCAGTCTGGCTCCTCTGAGGGTTCCCATTCTGGTGATGAGGGTGTTCCCATTCAACCTGAACAGTTCCCTCCCCAAAAGGTGGAGGATGATCTTCCTATCTCTCCGTTGGAGGATGTTAAGTCTTATGGGGACTTTGTTAAAAGGATGGCCCAACACACTGGCACTTCCGACTATCCAAAGGATGCCATAGAACCAGTTCCAGTGCTGCAACAACGCCTAGGTTTCTATTCTCATTACTTTACTGTTCCGAAGAAGGATGGAGGCCTCTGCCCTATCACAGATCTCAGAAACCTGAACCAGTACATTGTTTACAAAAAAATTTGCATGACAACTCTACAGTCTATCCTTCCCCTTTTAGAGAGGGGAGTCTGGATGGTAACCCTGGACTTGCAGGACACCTATTTCCATGTGTCTATCCATCTGTCCCACTGGATGTTCCTCTGTTTTGCAGTCGGCAATGACCGCTTTCAGTACAAAGCCCTCCCCTTCAGGTTCTCTACTGTGCCTCGCGTTTTCACCAAGGTAATGGTGGTCATTGTGGCTCACCTTTGTCTACAGGGCATACAAATTTTCCCGTACATCAACGGTTGGTTGTTGATTGCAGAGACCGAGACAACCTTGCTCGAACACATTACTTTAACCTTCAACACCCTATCAACCCTGGGATTGTGGGTAAATCTAAAGAAGTCGATGCTCACCCCCTCCACTCGGGTGCAATTCATTGACACAGTCCTAGACTCGATACTCTGCAGGGCTTTCCTGCCACCCAAAAGGGCGGAGGACATTGTCGCCCTCATTGGCCTCCTCAGAAAACAACGGATGGCTTTTCTGAAGCAGATACAACGTTTGTTAGGGCTCATGGCCGCAACTACGTCGGTCCTGGTCTTTGCCAGACTTCAAATGAGACCACCCCAGCTTTGGTTTATTCAAAAATTCCACCCCCAAAACAAACCTCAGTCCCTATGCTTCACTCTTCCGAGACACGTCCTAACCTCTCTCCTTTGGTGGGAAGACAGGCAGAATCTATTGGAGGGAGCTCCATTCCACCGTCTGGACCTGGTAGTCACTCTGACCATGAACGCATCTCTCTGGGGCTGGGAAGCGCATCTTCAAGGCCTCTGTGTGGGGGCGCAGTGGGACCCTCGAGTGACACAACACCACATCAACTTTCTGGAGTTACTAGCCATTCAGTACGCGCTAAGATCCTTCCGCCACCTAGTGACTCACCAGGTAGTTGCGGTTCTCACCGACGACACCACGGCACTCTGTTATCTCAACCGTCAGGGTGGGACAGTGTCCAGGAGCCTCTGTCGGCTAGCCACGGAAATTTGGAATGAGTGCCAGTCATGGGGCACGTTTCTAGTAGCGGCCCATCTACCAGGAACCCTCAATGTGCAGGTGGACTTCCTGAGCAGAGGAGGTGCGTCATGGCATGAGTGGGAGATCAATTGGTCATATCTATCCCCGATTTTTCAGAAGTGGGGCCATCCAGATGTTGATGCATTTGCGACGCATGAAAAACAAGAAGTGTCGCCTGTTTTGCTTCAGAGCAGGAGGAGATCTGCTCTCTCTCGGGGATGGTCTCCTTTATCCGTGGACTCAAAGATACCTGTTCCTTTCCCCGCCTTTTCCCCTACTCACCAAGGTAGTAGCCAAAGTGTTATGGGAAAGACCGTGTTGCATCCTCATAACCCCATGGTGGCCCAGACAGCACTGGTTCCCCACTCTCCTGCACATCTCCAAGGGCTCCTTCCTCCATTTTCCACCGACTCCGGATCTCCTTCTGGCACAGGACAGGCAGGTGCTGAATCACAACATGCCACATCTGAAAATGACGGCATGGAGGATTCTTTGGCAGCACTGAGAGACCGAATAGACTTTGTGCTCTCTAATTGTCATAAGCCTTCTACTAGGGCTTCTTACACTGGGAAGTGGAAGACCTTCCTGTCTTACCTACGTCTGTTGGGGCTACCCCCTCCCCCCACTGATCTAGTTATAGTGTTTGGGTTTTTGTTATCACGTTTGGATTTGGGCCTCAGTTTTTCTTTGTTGCGGGTGTACTTGGTAGCCATCTCAGCTAATCACCCTGAGGTGGATGGACATTCTGTCTTCTCACACCCAAGGACCAAGCAGTTCTTGAAAGGGCTCAGGCACTTGTTCCCCCAGTCCTGTGGTCCTTTGCCAGCTTGGACTCTTCCCCTGGTACTTACTAAGTTGATGGGCAGACCCTTTGAGCTCATGGCTACCTGTAACTTACAATTCCTCTCCTGAAAGACTGCCTTCCTGGTAGCGATTACCTCGGCCAGGTGGGTGAGTGAATTGTCAGCGCAGGTGTGACTCTCCGTACCTGATGTTTCATAATGATGGTGTTACCTTGGCCCCAGATGTCTCCTTTCTGCCCAAGGTAGTTTCGGAGTTCCGACTCCGAGCGGACATTGTTCTCCCTGTGTTCTTCCCAATGCCTGAGAGCGATGAGGAATGTCGTCTTTACTCCCTAGATATCAAGAGGGCTTTGCTCTTCTACGTGGACAGAATGCGGCCTTTCAGAAAGACCCCAGCTCTGTTCGTCTCTCATACGTTACCTTCACAGGGGAAGAAGTTATCCTCTCAGCGTCTATCCAAATGGATCGTGGAGACAATCAAACTTGGCTATCTGCTTGCTAAGAAGCCGCTCCCGGGTCCGCTACGAGCACATTCCACCCGGGCAATTGTGACATCCACAGCCTTCCTGTGGGGTGCATCACTTGGTGACATCTGCAATGTGGCAACCCGGGCTACTCCTCACATGTTTGTGAAGCACTATGCCCTAGACGTTCGTCTTCATCAGCATATAATGGTGGGACGGGCTGTGTTGCAGGCGGTGCATGTCTAGGACCTTCAGCATCCTCCTCCAGGTAGGTGGCTATTGCTTTCTAGTCTCCCAGGGTGTGATGCACAGAGACCACGAAGAAGATAAACAGGTTGCTTACCTGTAATTGATGATCTTCGAGTGGTCACCTGTGCATTCACACCACCCGCCCTCCTTCCCCTCTGCTTTCGGTTCTTTCCTTTTACTTTGTGACTGAGGGCAGCGGTCAGAAGAGAACTGGCGGAATGGTGGTGCCCCTCCCCTAGTCATGTGTACTGAGTCCAGCACGTGATGGGGGAGCAGGCGCGAAAATCCCTTTCGCTTTCTACAATATCGATCAGGGTCGGCGCAGGCACACTATGGGTGTGATGCACAGATGACCACTCGAAGATCATCAGTTACAGGTAAGCAACCTGTTTTTCCAGGTGATGTCATCATGCCATGTTGGGGGGCATTTGTGGGTGGGAAGGAGCCTGCAAAAACAGGGAAACCCCCACTCTGATCAGGGGGCTGGCAAACCTAGGAGGGGTTGTGGCTCAGTGGGAAGAGCCTCTGCTTTGCATGCAGAAAAGTCCCAAGTTCAATCCTCAGTATCTCCAGTTAAAAGGCGCATACTGTAGATGACGTGAAAGACCTCCACCTGAGAACCTGGAGAGCTGCTGCCAGTTTGAGTAGGCAATACTGACCTTGGTGGACCAATGGGCTGATTCACTACAAGGCAGCTTCATGTGTTGGATGTGAGGGTTGAAGCCAGTGCTCTGTCCCTCAGCTAGCAAAACAGCAGTCGCTGAGAAGTCGTATGTCAGACCTCTGTGGGTCTAGATTCCATTTTTTTTTTTTGTCTGATTTTTTTGGGAACAGAGGACAAAGATGAGACCGCTGCTCGGACGTACCTCTCTGAACTGAAGAACATCCACATTCACCTGGAGGAATGTGAGCAGCGGCTGGTGGGGACCATCCGGACCCCGAGCAGCACCAGAACAGATGGAGATGCTTTACAGGAGAACACTTTCCGTATCGCTGAGCAGGAGGTGAGTATTTCTGCATCTTAAGAATTGGGGTTGTGGTTTCTAAAAGCTTCTGCTGAAATAAAATATTGTTGGTCTTCTAAGTTGGAGCAAGACTCCCATTTGTTTTTTCATTCTCTCCACAGCGATTGAAGGAGGATTTGCATCATTTGAAGGCTGACGTGGAACAGCTTTCCGAGAGATGCAACATTTTCCTGCACAAATCTCCAACAGGGTCCAGTGCCCCACATCTTCGCTCTGAGCTTAACCTGCTGGTGGAAAAGATGGACCACGTTTATGGGCTCTCATCCATCTACCTGGACAAGTGGGTTCTTTTGCTCTCAAACCAAAAGAGGGGCCCATGTGAGGTGGCGTCGATAGGGTTGCCAGCTCCAGGTTGGGAAATCCCTTGAGATTTGGGAGGATGGTGCTTGGGGAGGGTGGGATTTGGCAAGTATAATGCCATAGAAGAGAAGAAGAAGAGATTGGATTTATACCCCGCCCTTCACTTGGAGTCTCAGAGCGGCTTACAAACTCCTTTCCCTTCCCCTCCCCACAACAGACACCCTGTGAGGTGGGTGGGGCTGAGAGAGCTCTGACACAAACTGCTCTTTTTCAAGGACAGATGTGCCGGAGCTTGTGACTGACCCAAGGTCACATCAGCAGGTGCAAGTGGAGGAGTGGGGAATCAAACCCGGTTCTCCCAGATTAGAGTCCACACACTTAACCATTGCACCAAACTGGCTCTCCTGAGTCCTGCTTCCAAAGCACCCATTTTCTTTAGTGGAATTGGTCTCTGTCTTCTGGAGAGAAGTTGTAATTCCAGGAGATATCCAGGCCCTGCCTGGAGGTTGGCACCCCAAGGTGTCCACTTTAGACTACAAAAGCCCAGGTTTAAAACCCTGGGCCAGACTGTCTGTCAGCACAATACACTTTGCAGAATGGTTGTGAGGCTGAGAAGGGAAAAGATGGCTGTGAGCTGTGCCTCAGCTCCTTGGGGGAATGATGCAATACAAGAAGAAAGAGAATGATTTGAGATCAGGAGGATGGAGGGATAATGAGAATGGTAAAATACAGAGTTTTGAGAATGAACAGTTGTGAGATTTTGGCATTCACAAAAAATTGCAATGAGATTTGTAGCGTTCCAAGAGAAAATCCCTCTGGCCATAGAGTGTGTGTCCTCTGGAGCTAGCAGTGGTTTCTGCTGCGTTCTAGCAGGCCTCTGGATCTGGTTGAGTTCAAATTAAGGAGGTTTATGTTGTGCGTTTTGGAGGGGGGGGGGAGATTGAGAGGCCTGGAGCTGTATCCATCTTGGAAGCATCTTCGGCTGTGATGGTCTTCTCCGCTTTGCAAGACACAGGCATATAATGGAGTCCTTGCCTTAGTTGAAAGGAATCTTATTTTCTTTCCCTCTTTGCAGTTACAATACAGCACCATTTAGGCCAATTTAGTAACTATTCCTTTGTTGTCCCCCCCATTTGTGGCTTGGTTCAATGGTTTCTATGAAAAAACGCATTAGCAGAATAACGCTAATCCGCATTGATGTACTTTGTGTGGCTGTTCCTTTAATTGTCAGTAGGGTCACTTTTTCTTTACTGTACAGAAATCCTTTACTGTACAGTAAAATTAAAGAAATGGCATTGCTGGCAGAAATGCTTAGTGCTTGAGAGAGGGGAGGAATGAATGGCAGTGGTACTTTGATGTTCTCTGTCTAATCTGCCCCGAATGGCAAACTCTTGTGGATGGAGAACATCTGCCGTAGTTTCTGTAGTGAACATTACCCTTTCCATCTGGTAGGTTAAAAACTGTGGATGTCATCATTCGGAACACGCAAGGAGCTGAGTCCCTGGTCAAAGGGTATGAGGTCAAATTGAGTCAAGAGGAGGCTGTGCCTTTGGATCTGGCCACCATAAGGTCTCACCGAGCTGCCTTACAGGTGGGTGGCCTGGAAGCCGAGTCACATCATTTGAGGCTTGCTTGTACTCTTGTGCTGACCTACCGGATACTGCCAACCCGCCAGATCCCTCTTTGTCACCGGTAGCTGCCACTTCTTGCTGCCGAGTGAACAGCAGCAGAAACAGCTGGATCCGGCAGGCCTCATTCCCTTTTGCTTTTTCATGCCTGCCGCCGGTTCCTTTGGCAGCCAAGCTAGTTTGCGCTGCTGCAGTGGGGAGCATGTGGAGTGATTTGCTCTGAACCAGAAAGCAAGAGAAGCCTTGCATTGCCAGTTTCTGCAAATATCTCTTGCCTCTGCCATCTCAAAGGGCAAGGAAGATTTTTGCATTTTTATATATATAAATAAAAGATGGAAAGATTGCAGGTTTTAGTATGACATGTTACGACGTAATGAATAAACTTGAGACTTGCAGGCAGAGCTTTGGACGGGGGGGGGGCAATTATCTGAAATCCCTGTTCATGGCCTCTTCTCCCCTTTTTGGTCTCCCTGCTCTCTACACACACCTGCTTCCTGCTAATAGTAAACAGCATCACCTGTTTCTTCACTCTGTGTGAGCTGTTCCAAGCCCAAGAGACCTTTTGCTTCCCTTATAGGAGTTGTACTGTGTCAACTTTCTATCACTAAACCTTTTGGCTTGGTAGTTAGAACCTTTGTGAACGTACCATAGCATCACAGCTCAGCAGACAGCTGGGGCAGGACTTAGTGATGAGCCATGTGTCCAGTTTTCAGACCATAAGGTAGTCTAAACTGAGATGTTTTCTTTCTTTTTCTGTGTTAAAGCAATGGATCAGTGAAATGAATGAGAAGAACACAGTCTTTGCGATGTTGGAAGATGACCTGGCGAGAGCCAAAGTGGTGGCCAATCAACTGTTCTCTATGAAGCAGGAGCGCAGCCCTGATGTGGAACGCTACCAGGAGAAAGGCGCACAGCTGTGGGATCGTTGGCAGAGGGCCAGCACACAGCTTGAGACTCGGTGAGGGTTGCCACCTCTTGATAGCTGCCTCCTTGATAGCTTCTGCATGATCAATTTTGTCCACCTTAAATCTAGGAAGGAGAGTACTGAAATCTTCCTGCATATCCAGACAGCAATAGCGGTAATCTGCTCACGTTAGCACCTTCAAAGTCCCTTTGCTTTGTCCCCTTGCTGAGAAAATGACTCTCGTATAATTCCCTTGCATTGGCTCACAGAGGGTAGAAGCTGCCGCTTCTGATGGGGCTCTCCAGCCAGCTCTAGGCCAGAAGGAGTTACGACATGACTCCAGGATCTTCCAATCTGTCTTTTCATTGGTCAATAGCTGGAAAAAAACAAGATGTTCCTAGCAAAGAAATAGGAAAAAAGAAAAGAAGGAAGGAGCAGGAGAGAGAATGTTCATGGAAATGTATAACAGTCTATGATATTTTTTTTAAAAAAATCTATGCACTAATCAACACTAATAAATAAAATAAAATATAGCTGCCTTAAGAAAGTGATTGAGATAAGAGAAGGTGCAGGAAATCTTTGTGGTCCTGTTGATACTCTTCCTTGATGTCCCTGGGCAGGTTGTCATCTTTCTTCCTGTGAACATTCCCCTCTTTCTTACCAGGTGTTGTTTGCAATTTGCAAGCTTTTAAAGCAGCATGCCATTGCAAGCCTTTCTAGTCACCTGTCCTGGATGGCCCAGGCTAGCCTGATCTCATCAGATCTCTGAAGCTAAGTAGGGGCAGCTCTGGTTAGTACTTGGATGGGAGACCACCAAGTAAGTCCAGAGTTGCTAGGCAGAGGCAGGCAAAAACCACCTCTGACCATCTCTTGCTTGATAACTATGCTGTGGTGATGGGATCACCATAAGTCAGCTGTGACTTCACGGCAATTTTTTTTTAATTGCAAGCCTTCCTAGTGACAAGAGTCTGCCTGGGATCTCAGTCCAGTCTCAGGGAACTTCTCATCCCTTCCCCAGTCTTAAGCATTTCCTTGTTGCCCTTCTGCTGACTTCTCCAGCATGGGCAAAGGGCTCTTTAACCCGCTCCTCACGTATAGCAATAGAAGCTTGGGAAAAGCTCATGCAGGGGAATGAATGGCTGCCAAAGCTTCTGTTGTTGGTCATACTGGGGAGGAGTGGATTAAAGAGCCCTTTGCTCACCCCTGCTTTTGCAGGAGTCAGTGGCTGAAGCTAAGATTGTGATAAATGAATTTTTATTTTATTATTTATTTATCTTTAGATTTGTATCCCGCCCTACCCTGAAGGCTCAGGGTGGCTCCGAAGGCTCTGGATTGGGTTCTCTGAAACGGGATGATGTTCTCATTGTTGAACATCACAAAATCCCACCATTCCTAGCTTGTGGTTATAGATGCAGTTCATACAACTGCTCTGATGAAAGAGCTTAAAATTCAGAGCTCGTCTAATCCCACTCCTCTGCCCCCTTTTTTATTCTCTTGCATCTTTTGACAGCCAATTAGAGCTGGAGAGCATTGAGGAAGTGCTGAGCACTTACCGGAGCTGTCATGGGGCACTCATTCAGTGGATTGAGGAGACCACAGCCCAGCAAGAACGGATGAAGCCTGGTCAAGCAGAAGACAGCAGGGTCCTCTCTGAGCAGCTGAGCCAACAGATGGTAGGCTTGACATAGGGATGCAAAGAGGCACCTCAAGGAAGGGGGTGTAACACTGGGTTAGGCTTTTTAAATTACTGGAATAGTAATCGTAGAACAAAATTTGCTGGAGTTATTCCATCATGACAAAAAGATTTGCTGAAGCGTCTCCAAATCTGATGTGCAAATAGTTGCTGAAAGCATCGCACAACTTCCAGTTGACAACATTTCTGAGACATAAAAGTGTTGGGCTTGGAAAGACATAGAAACTTTGTATGTTATTACCCAATTTCCCTTAATCCCTGTTGGAACTTCTGGGCAAGTCCCAAGGAGTTAGGGCACACCAGAGAAACATGTCTGTATGCCTTTATAGAAATTTATGGCACAGCCTGAATAACCCTGAATAACCCAATCTCATCAGAGCTTAGAAGCTAAGCAGGCTCAGCCATGGTCCGTACTTGGATGGGAGACCATCAAAGAAGACTAGAGTCGCTATGCACTGGAAGGCAATGGCAAACCACCTCTGCTCATCTCTTGCCTCGAAAACCCCATGGTTTGGCTTCCTGGGTTGGTTGTGACTTGATGGCACATCATCCACCACCACCACCATCATCATCATCATGGCACAGCTACATTATTTATTTATTTATTAAATATGATTTTTAAACTGCCCTCCCCCTGTAAGGACAGGGCTTGGGGCGGTGTACAACAGTGGAATACATTCATATAATAAATACGTAATTAAAACAATTACAACACGGTAAAACACAACAGTCAGCCTAATAAATGATGCTAGGAACTACCAGTTGTGCCACTGCCTCATGGGGGGAAGGCCAGACAGATGGAACTGTCGCTGTCCTCAACCCTACGCCTGGTGGAACATCTCTGCCTTACAGACCCTGTGGAACTGCATTAGGTCCCTCAGGGCATGGATGTTGTTTGGCAGAGAGTTCCACCAGGTTGGAGCCAGGGCAGAAAAAAATTGAAATACCATGTACAGTTCCATCTGCTCCACTTTAAGAAAAGAGAGATGCCTGAGTAGAAAACTTCCAAGAAGTGCAACAAAAATCATAGGGGGTTGGAGGACCTTCCTCATTAGATGATGCATTTTGGGTGTTTGGGTTTAGAGAAAGGGAACATGAACATGTTTTGGGAGGAGAGAGAAACCTATCTGTCCCCTGTAAGTCAGCCAGTGAAGTTGTTGGAAGGTAGACAGAGGGCAGACAAAAGGTAGTATTTCCACACATCCTGCATAATTAAGTTGGTGAAATTTGCTGCCACCAGATGAAGTGGTGATCACTGGCTCAGGTGGCTTTTAGAAACAGGTTAGACATTGGCCACAATGACTAAATGGTACCTGCATGTTGAGAAGTACTTTTGAATACTAGATGCCAGAGACCGAGACCATGGGAGGGTGTTGCCTTCATGCCCTGCATGTGGGGATTCCCTTCCCTTGGAAACATGCTGCTGCCCTAGATGACTTTTTGTAGTGATGTTCAACAGGATCCCACTTAGGTTCTTAAGACCAAAAGTGTTCAGAAGGAAGGACTTCTCTTTCTCTGGAATTGAGCAAGAATTGTAATAATGTTCTTGTTGGCAACAACACAGTGACTGATTTCCCACAAGCAGCTGCACTGCCCTCGCTCTTCCCTCCCCTTAATTGTATTAGTCAATTTCCTACTACTTGCTGCGCGGCCACATTTTGACCTGCAGCATCCCCCAATTTTCCCTGCATCTTCTCGATCTCAAAAAACAGGGATCTAGAGGACGTGGGGGAAATCGGGGGATGCTGCGGGTCAAAATGTGGCCGTGCAGCAAGTAGTGGGAAATTGACGAATACAATCAGGGGAAAGGGAAGAGTGAGGGCGGTGCAGCTGCTTGTGGGAAATCAGTCAGTATTTGTGTGGGAGCTGTTACATGATGGGAAGGAATTAACTGATGAGGCCAATGACTGGAATGTCCCTTCTGTAATTCTGGTTTTTGATGGTGCTGTTATTTTGAATTGAAGGCCCTGTTTGCTGAAATAGAGGGAAATCAAGCCAAACTGGACCAGTGTCAGAAATTCTCTCAGCAATACTCAGCTGCTGTCAAGGTAAGTCAGTGTCCTGTAGTTATAGAATGTGTCTGGTGTAGCACATCTGGCACAGTGAAACTCTGGGGAGTCGGGGAGACAGGACAAGTAGTTCAGAGGAAGGGGTTGGTACCTGAAGTCAGCTCCAAAACAATCCTGACTCTCTCTAAGCAAAAATAGTTGTGCTGCAAAAGATGTTGACACTGGTTAAAGGTAAAGGAGGAAGATTTTAAAACCGTGTGGAGAGGAAAGAAGCTTACGGTGAATGGTCAAAAGAGACTGAATTTCAGTGCTTTGCATCTGGACATGTTGCTCAAAAGACAGGCATTTCAGAGTAGACTTGCTCTTCTTTTTTTGTATTTTTTACTTGTGAATGTTTTGTCCTATTGTGATAACGGACTATGTGAAAGTGTTCTAATTCAGTGTTAAAGGGTTGAACTCTCCCAGTAAAAGACAAAAAAATGCCGTATGGCTTGCAAAGAGAAGCGGTAGATATACTACAAGATACCTGCATAAAAGGTGATGAGAGACATGGAGAAAAATGAAACTGGCTAGTCAGGATTCAGCATCAAATGTGGCAAACAATTAAGCGTGGCTGTTGTCAGGAGGAATAAAGAGAGAGTTATTATTGGTAATCATTGGTGAAGGTTTTAATGGATGCTAGATCAGAAAAAAAATTATGGTAGATGACTTATGAATTGTTACCAAAAACTTCCTTGGGGGCTACAGATAATTTACAGCTCATGGAAGCTTCAAGATTATTACACCACAAGGAATGTGGTGATACATTTTTCTCCCTAACTTGCAAGTCTTATTCCAGTATCACCCTTTATTATGACTTGAAAAATATTAAAAGGAAGGATCCAGCACCAATGTACCTGCTACAATATTGTGGATATGTCTCACATTGCCACCTTATAAACAGTGTTGGTTAGGTAAATGGCTGCCTCAAAAAGAATTTAGATGGAGGCTCTTTGCAGGCAAGCCACCTGTGGCAAAACCTTCCAGGTATGGGCAGAACTGCTCAAATTGCCTTTTTTTTTTTTGAGACTGCAGGTGTGTGCACTGATTGCATTTTTTATTTCATTTCCATTTTTTTCCCTTTCATGACAAGTTACTGAAACATGGAATTTCCAATTCCCAACCTATGGAACTGAATATTTTTTGTCACCTCTGTATTCCCAGGACTATGAACTACAGCTTATGACGTACCGTGCTTTTGTAGAGTCGCAGCAGAAGTCTCCTGTGAAACGCCGGCGTGTGCTTTCCTCCTCGGATGCTATCACACAGGAGGTGAGAAGGCCCCTGCCAGCCCTTGCCTTTTTGGCATATGGAGCTGAGTGGGGTGGGGGAGGCAAGAGGGGGGGGTATTATTCAGTTCTTTAGACAGACAAGCTGCCTCTCTTTAGACATGCACTTATGCTTGCTGCTGGACCAGTGTGTAAAAGTTTCCTCCCTCGCTGTCTTTTCCATCAGCCACAGAGGCTCTAAACTCTAAGCATCAGGGGTTTGAAATACGTAGACTTCTTGGAACTGCTGGTTCAAATCCCTACAGGGGTCAACCCAGCTCAGCTGCCTGCAAGGTAAATAAAGAGCACCATGCAGTTCACTGTGTGTGTGGATCTTTTGGATGAGACCAAATAAAAAAGAGAGAGAGAGAGAGAGATTGGAATGGCCTCTTTTCTCCATGAGGAATCTAGAACTGTTATGAAAAATGACCTTTGAGTTTCTGGAAGAAGTTTGCACTGTGGAGAACCCCAAGGCCACTCTTTACTTCACTCCCTGATGGGAAAGTCTAGTAATGTGGTTGTGGGTTTTTAATCGTATAGGGAGGGGTTTTGTTTGTTTGTTACATGCCTCCCTCTCTTCCCTGGGGGAGCTCAGAGCAGTTTGTGTAGCATTCTAGATGGCCTTCATTCAAGTCATGGCCAGACCTGCTTGGCTTCAGCAGCAGAACTGCATCATAAACTTCAGACTATTCTCTGGACTTCCTTTGTACAGGGATGCCTTTCTCACTAGTGAACCGGAGGCTGAAAAGAATGATGAGAACTTGCTATCAAGCAAACAGACACTTCTGCTTACATTAGGAGGCACTTTCCTTTTCGTTGTATGTAACAGGTGCTGGCCAGTCCCCAAACAACTTTTTGAAGTTGATTGAGCAGGCCTGTTATGTGCAGCTCTGCCTGTTTAAGACTGGCTCAGCCCAAAATCTTGATCTAACTAATCTGCTGATGCAAACCAATTAAAGGTTGAAGCCCTACTGACTGGTTGCTGGTCGTTGAGTTATGGTCAGCCTCCCTCTTCCCACGCCTTTGTGTTCCATGCACCAGGGAAGAGGTCCCCTTCTTTTCTTTTCCCTCAGAGGTTTTTTGTCCTGCCTGAAGAACTGGATGGTTAAGGCTGGACAATCTCATCTAGGACACTGTTTGCTTTTGAGGAGCAGTAAAAAGATGTGGTTTTTGCATTCTGAGGCAAACAGCTCAAGTTGTCCATGTTTACTTGCTGTTTGGAACTTAGGATGTGTTCGCATTGGCCCTGGGACAGACAGAAAGAGCCTCATTTCTTGAGAGCTCAGGGATGTATTTGGAGTCCTTTCCCAGACCTTCCCTCCTTCAGTCCTTCTGTCTTCTTTGCTGTGTTTTTTTCCTTGTAGGGTTTTCCCAAGATTGTCACACTGTCTAAATGTCCATCAATTTGGGCAGGGAGTGGAGACTGAGAAGTTCTGTGTTTAAGAGAAAAATGTGTGTGTGGAGGGGGTTCCATTGCCAGCATTAACAGGCCCCTTTCCTTGTGGTTCTTTCTCTCCCCCCCTCCCCCACCATTCTCCTAGTTTATGGATTTACGGACACGCTATACAGCCCTGGTCACCTTGACGACACAGCATGTAAAGTACATCAGTGATGCTCTCCGGCGCCTGGAAGAGGAAGAAGTAAGGATATGATTTTAAAAAAAACCAATTCTGTGATCACTGTCTTGTAAATCAGTTGTGGCCAGGAAGCAGATTTTTTTTCCTGGATTGGGTTTCCAGCTCTGGGTTGGGAAATACCTGCAGATTTTGGGAGTGGAGCCTGGGGAGGGTGGGTTATGCCATGTATGTGAAAAGACTCATTTGTATATTTATATGAATATATGCCGTGTCTTTTTCATTTTCTTTCCTCCCCCCAGAAAGTGGTAGAGGAGGAAAAGCAGGAGCACGTGGATAAAGTGAAAGAACTCCTGGGATGGATCACAAGTTTCAAGCAATGTGCACAGTTCAAAAGCATCACCCCCAACAGCAAAGAACTAGGAGATATTGAGAAGTCCATTTTGGAGCAGCAGGTATGTATTGGAAAGGCAGGGGGCATTTCCTTGTACCCTTTTGTCAACACAAGATAAACCCTACAAGATTTATTCTGGCCATCCCCGTAATTCATCAGGAGTTGGCTTGCATTCCAGATCTGATGACGTCTTCCTCCTTTGAGGTTCTTCCAGTGCCTCAGCAGTGTATTTTCTTCCTTGCCTTTCTGACTGGTTGGCTCTTTTTTGTTCCTTAACAGGTTCTAAGTGAGGAACTGGCTGCAAAGAAGGAGGAGGTCTCAGAAGCTGTCAAAACTACCCAGATCTTCCTTGCAAAGCATGGCCACAAGTGAGTTTGGGAGGCAGCTGTGCAGATTAGGAAGAATGTGGTTGTACAGCATGGTACAGAATTCCTTGTTGCAAGTCTTTGCTTTTTAACCGCCCACCCCCCATCTCTTCAATTCCAGATTGCTTCACACTTTTCAGGCTCACGGTTGTTCTAAGAAAAGGAAGCTTGGAACCTGTAGAGCTAGGGTTCAGACAAAAGTCTGAAAAGGGAAGATGGATCCTGTTGAACTCAGGGGAGTTCATGTTGTTTCTGAGAGGATGTTTGACCGTGACCCGAGAGGGGTAGGGATGGCTGCCTTTGCAGCCAGTCAGTGGAAGGGTTAGGTAGAGCACATGCCTTGGGTCACTGGTAGAGCACATGCCTTGGATTTAGGAAGTCCAAGTTTCAATTCATGGAATCTTTGGTAAAGTGGTTTGTTGGGGTTTTTTGGTGATTAAGTTGCAGTTGCCTTATAGTAACCCTGTAGGGTTTCAAGGCAGGAGATGAACAGAGGTGGTTTGCCATTGTCTGCCTCTGTATAGCAACCCTGGACTTCTTAGTGGTCTGCCATCCAAGAAATAAGAAGAGCCAACCTTGCTTAGCTTCCAGCATCTGACTGGAGCTGGCTAGTCTTGTCAAGGCCTTTGGTAAACTTTATTGTCAAGAGTATAGTCCATAAAGCACAACAGCTTGTTAAACTTTCTCAGGCTGGTCACTCAATAGAAACACTCAGTAAACTACAGTATACATACAAACACAATTCAGGTCATGGAAGTATCATAATAGAAGGATGATATAATTAACTTAAAAAAAAACTAAAATACATATGTTGACTATAAAAATTAGAAACTTTTGTAAAGTTTCTTGCGTAGTTGGACTGGGAAAGACATCTGTCTTGGACAACTACTGCCACTCAGAGTCCGCAGGCTTCCACTAGGTGAGCCTGTCTTGTCTAGCTCAGTAGAAGGCAGATCCTCTAATCTAGGGCCTGGAATGTCTTCTGGAATGCAGAAGAAGATGAATATCAGTGTTCAGCAATTGCTAAGTCTTTCGGGGTGGCTGGGAGAGGCCAACAAAAGAAGTACTCGAATATGAAGGGAGACACAGTGAAAGTAGAGAAATATTAAATAAATCCCAACAAATAAAAATTAAAAATGTAATGAAAATAGCACAGACGGGGAAAATCACATTACATCCAATATCTCACTAATTGTACAATGTATCAACATCAGAACTTACATCAAATAATATAGGCAGAATGCATCAATGAACCTCTACAGTACACAGAAGGACTAGAACAATAATGGAATAGAATGATGCCTGTGAGCAAGTTGTTTTGAGATATAATAGCTGGCAAAGGCTTCAGGCTCTAGACCCAAAAGACCCTGGGTTTAATCTGGTGAGAACCAGTGTTCCCTCTAAGCTGTGCAGTCTTGTGAGCAAACATTCTACTTTGTGAGCTACTGCCATTAAAGCTGAGCCCCAGGTTCAGTCCCCGGCATCTCCAGATATTTGGAAAGGCGGGATATAAATATAAACAATAAATAAATAAAATACTGGAGCCATCCTTCCTAAGCAAAGACAAAAATGTGTGAGCTGAAGGCTAAAAAACTGTGAGCTAGCTCACACTCACTCAGCTTAGAGGGAACACTGCTCTGGAGCCATCCTTCCTGAGCTAAGACAAAAATGTGTGAGCCAGAGGCTAAAAACCTGAGCTAGCTCACATTAACTCAGCTTAGAGGGAACACTGGTGGGAACCAATGTGGCTGCTCCCCTCCACAATATCCTGTGACCACCTAACCATCACCGGGCCATATCCCACAGGCTGGGAAATCTGAACTTTTCCAATGAAATGTACAAGAATGGGAGCCACTCGGCACAAATATTGTTACAATCCAGGATCTCAATAGGCTGCTTCTGTGGCTACAGATCTTTCAGCTTATATCAAGAAATGTTCTCCATCCTATTCTGCAGGCTTTCTGGCCAGGAGAAGGAGCAAATTGTGACTCAGCTGAATGCCCTGAAGGAGACGTATGACCAGCTATGCAGTGACTCCACAGAGCAGCTCCAGCAACTTCACAGCCACATGGCCCAGGAGACGGCACATAAGGTATCCCTCTTCTCTCCATGCCAGGATCTCCCACATCTGGAATATTTTTCTCCCAGCTGTGAGGGAACAAACTTGTACTTGGTGCATAGGCCATTGTTTTCCACAGCCTGCTGGTGTTTGATAAGTCCATGCAAGTAACCATCATTTCACTCCATCCCCTTTCTTGCATTCTGAACCCTGTTGACAAGTTGATTTCTCAAGGCCAAGCAGGGAGAGCATGTTATAAACATGTTGATGCTTGAAAGGTGGCAGAGCAAGGTTACTAAACTCCTCACCGTCATAAGGCACCTGTAACAACATTAGTTGCCAAGGAGAAGTTTGATGAGTGCAAGTTTTCTTGACAGGATCTGTTGCTTGCCAAGACTTTCTAGCCTCTTGGCTCTGGAAGGAAGCCATGCTGTCCTCAAGGAAGGGCTTTCACCATTCAGCCTGGTTTCCCCAAGTTGGGTATGCTTCCCATTGTTATCTAGAGCTGGAGAGCTTCAAGTTTGCCTTCCTCCATCATTCATTCATTCATTTATTCATTCATTCCTGTCTTCTTAGCACAGCTAAATAAAAGAGAACAGTTTTAAGCATGGATTTCCAGTCAAAGATTACAGGAGTCTTGCAGAGATTCTTTAGAACTAGATTACAAGCAGGGGTAGCAAGAGAAAGAAGGCCACTTTAGCCATGAAAGATTGAGCAATGGCTGGCAGGTGGCAAAAGAACAAAAGGTGATTTAATGTCAAATGAAGGGAAAATGTTATGTGATGAACAAGACGTCCAGTGACGGTAACTAAGGATGTGTCTGGCAAATATTTTATGTTCCTGGCCAGAAGTGAATACTGGGAAAGGGACTTATCACCTCAGCATACCCAGAGGGAAGACTACCCTGCAGTTCTCTACCATCATAAATCCTTCACTGGCCACAAACACCAGACCTTTCTTTCCCTCCTCTTGACCTCAGTTTTGTACCCCCCCCCCCTGCACTGGGCAAAAAGTCTTTGAACATCCATCCTACCTGTTGTTGGTTTGTTGCTCTTCTGGAGTCCTATGTGAATATCTTTGTATATTCTATGTATGTAAGTGTGATATACATGTGTCCCACTGATAACTTTATCTCTGTGTGGAAGTGTTTATAATGCTTGCTAGCTCCTCTGTGTTTTGAAGCACCAGCAGACCAACTTGACCAGGTTAACACCATTTCTGAACTTTATTTGGATGCCTCCTCCAGTACTTCTAGCTGCAGGAAGACCAAAGGGTCTCATTTGGTTCACAGTTCTTTCCCTCTTGTATTGTATTAGAAACCAGAACGCTTTGATTCAGGTTACCCGGTATGGGAGAGTTCCCATGTGAAACAGCAGTGCTGTAAACAGAGGAACAATATTGCAATGTGGGGGGTGGCTGAAAAGGGATGCATGTCTAAGAGGGCTCATTAGAGACTTTCTCAGTTGAATGGAACAGTTTGTCAGTTTTGGTGCTTCATTGTCACAGAGAGCCTTGGGGGAGATCTTCTAACACTCTTTTGCTCGTGGAAAATAGAAGCAACTCTTAGTTGAAAGTGGTTGTTCAATTTAAGGCAAATGGACAGAGGCTAAGAAACCACCCAACCCTTCTGTCCTTCCAACAAATGGCAGAACTCACTGCATTGAGCATGATGTGTCCCTGTATGGTTTCACGTTCCCTGTTGAGTTACCATTCAGATGAATGGGCGTCCTCACTTACAAAATGTTGTGGTGTTCACTAACAATTCTGGAGGTCACACAAAAAAAATAAAAGAATCTTCATACATTGAAAAGAGGAAGAAGCTGTGTGTGGGGGGGGGACGGGACGGGACGAGGTGGGTATTCTTCTCACATTTTTGTGCCAAACAAAACAGTCGCATGCCAGAAGCTAACCCCAAGCTTTTACTCTGTGTGTGCCATTCGGCTGAGCTGCTCCATAAAGGCTCTGTCTTTCACTGCTCACGGCAAACCCCACCATCCTGGTAAGTAAACCGCCTTTTATGACTCCTGTCCTCCTTTTCCCTCTTTCGTGCTTGTTTTTAATATCTGAATGTGCATGTGTGCAGACTCCTGACTCTGGCATTAGGAAGTTGGGAAGGGTTTTCCGGTTGATCTCCAGCCAAGCCCACCTGGGCTAAGGAATTGGGGAAAGGATCTCCTGTGCAGCCCTGTAGCTAGAAAGAGCATAGTTTGTTCTGGGCTTCACATGAAACCTGTGAACTCTACCCCCTGCTAGTCTAAGGAGCCAGTTTGTCTGCATGCTCTTTCAGAGATCCATATCCTACAGCCAGTGAGCCATCTGAACCGGTTCCCTAAATGTGGGGCCAATACAAGGCAATGCAGTCTGAGAACTGCCCAGAGAGCGGTGCTACCACAGGTTCTCCAATATGTCTGGAAGGGGCTTTGGCTCAGTGGTAGAGCCATATTCCTTGTTTGCAGAAGGTCCTGGATTCAATTCCTACCATCCCCAGTTTGGAAAGGATCAGGTAGTCAGTGATGTGAAGGACTTCTGCCTGAGACCCCGGAGAGCTGCTGCCAATCTGAGTAGATAGTATTGGCTTTGATGGACCAAGGGTCTGGTTCAGTGGAGAGGCTGTAGTTCAGTGGTAGAGCCTCTGTTTGTCATGTAGAAGATCTGAGGCTTCTCCAGTTAAGGATTAGGTAGTAGGTGATATGAAAAACCTCAGCCTGAGAACTTGGAGAGCCACTCCAGTCTGAATAGACAGTACTGACTTTGATGGACCATTGGTCTGATTCAGTATAAGGCAGCTTCATGTGTTCATGTTCCCTTCTTTCTCTGGCTGTACTTCCCAGTTTAGTGATAAAAGTGCTAAAGTAAGTATAAATTCCTGTTAATTGCTGCTAGAGACAAAACTCTGAGCAGATCTGAGGCTCTGTTGGGTCCTGTTCTGAATGGATTTAGTTCCTGAGAAGTTAACACAGATGACAACCAGTTCCTATGTGTTGTGTAGATGCACAGCCAGCCATAATGTTGTTAGGAGCCCCTGAGTCACCAGTGCGGTTTTGTTCTACTTTAGATTTTTGCATTTTAGAAGACCGGGCAGCCTTCTGAAACAATGTGGTCAAGGACGAATTGTGGAGTACCCCCAAGAGTGGCTGTTGTGTGGTTGGTAGAAACAGGTTGATGGAACGGCTGCATGGTCTTGACTTCCACTTGCCTGCTGACTCATGGTTGTTGTGCATGTCTCTGGGTGCTGTAATAACCAAGTTCATGAGGAGCTGGTGAAATGCATAGTTGGCAGGAGGTGTGCATCTTCCCATCCTTCTTCCTTTCCTCCATATGGGCAATCTGTATTGTTGGTATTTGTGCAGTCTGTCATGTTTATTGGCACTGTGGAGAGTGCATGTCAGTCGCTCCTGGTGTTTCTCTCTCTCTCTCTCCCCCCCCCCCTTTATCCATTGATCTTTATGTGGAACAGTGCGGCTGCTTGGTTATTTTTGTTGCCTTTGCTGCTTTGCTGCTCTTGATGGGTGTCCGAAATGTCTCAGTGATGCCATACGTGGCTGGCTAGATTGAGCTCCAAAGACGCCATTGCAAGGCCAAATCTTCACTAGCACTAATTTTGCTCCATGTTGTTAAACATTCAGTGAATTCCTTTATTCCCTTTTGGGGATCTGCTCTCTAGCACAGACTTGATTTAGAAGTCTGAGACATCCTTGGATTTTGGGGTGCATAAAAACTTGACTTCTCTTTCTTATGGCGTCTCCAGTTCTGAGTTAATTTTCTCCCCCTCTCCTTCTTCCTCTTTAGGGAATCGAGATTATCTCAGGAGTGCTAGACCTTGGCACTATGGAAGTCCTTCCTGTTTTTGGCGCCATGCAGAAAGGTCTCATAGACCAAGAGACAGGCCTGAATTTGTTGGAGGCTCAAGTGATCACAGCCGGTCTAATGGTTCCTGATACCAATGAAAAGCTCTCTTTGGCCGAGGGTCTGGCAAGAGGCATCATAGACTGTAGAACCCATCAGCTTCTCTGGGAACTGCAAGAAGTCATCCAGTTGGTAAACCAAGCTGACCTAAAAGAAAAGCCACTTCTTCCTCTTGTGGCCCTGATGGAGGACGGCACAATCAGTGAGAGCCTTGGGCTGAAAATCTCAGAAGTTCAGCTTGTCACTGGGGGGTTAATAGACTCTTTCAGTCATGGGAGAATAGGCTTAGAAGAGGCACTTCAAAGAGGCCTTGTTACTACAAGCTTTCATGGGAAACTGACATCTCACTTGAGATCTTGCAAGGACTTGATCGATCCCAATTCAGCCAAGAAAACTTGCTTGAATGACCTGATGCGCCAATGCATCCTTCACCAGGAGACAGGGCTGAGGTTGCTGCCCGTAAAACAGCTGGCGGGAGGGATGGTGAACTTGAAATCAGGCAGCAAAGTTAGCATATTTTGTGCAGTTCAGGAAGGCTTGATAGAGAAGCAAGTGACGGTGAGGCTACTGGAAGCGCAGCTCTTTGCTGGTGGCATTGTGGACCCCAAAAGCGGCCACCGGTTGACTGTGGATGAAGCCGTAAGGCATAATTTGATTGACCAAGATCTAGCATGTGCCCTTCTGGTACGACAACTTCAGACAGGTGGCATTATAAATACAGTTACAGGGGAAAGGCTTTTGCTAGATGATGCAGTAAGGAAAGATTTGGTAGCATCCAGGATTGCTGTGGTGATCCTGGAATCTCTGTGGTCATTTATGGGTCTTCTGTGGCCTGAGTCAGGTGAGATTCTCCCTGTTATGGATGCCTTGGAGCAAGATATCCTGTCCTCTGAGCTAGCCCATAAGATTCTTAGCATGAGACATTGCATCAAGGCACTTTATATCCCTGAAACTAGAGAAATATTGTCCTGGAAGAAAGCTGTGGATCGTGGGATCCTGGACAGGGACACTGCCAAGAAACTGAAATCAGTTGGCCTTCCTGACGTCATGCCAAAGATGCCTCTGGCAGACTCCCCAGCTAGAAATAAAAGAAGCATTCTTTCCTCCAGTGGCCAAACAGATCATTG